GGTGGACACATTTGTGATTTTAAGCATCATATTCTCACACACATGGCCTCGCTGTCAGCATACTTGCTGACCACACAAAGGAGAACACAATCGACTTTAATAGATGCTTTGGCACACTGGGGCTGTTATCATAGTAGCTTGGGAACTTTGAGACTCTGGGTGTTTTTTCAGCTTTCACCCATCATTTTGAACTGGGCGAGGCTGGGCTTAAAGGGAAAAATACTGAAACCCCAGCACAGCAATCTTGGGCATGGATTCCGTGGTCGCAGAAGGCAGCAGGAATTTCCGCGGTGACTAGCAGCCCCTACCCGCCCCAGCAGAGCAAGGAGCTGCTTCTGCCCAGCTTATGAAATCTAATCCTGGAGCTGACCCACCACTGGAATAAAAATTCAAACCCATACCGCTGTTTGGTGTTCAGGATGACTTTGTGGTTGTCCTTACTGCTGCGGCAGCAGTAAGAAGTCTGTTCCCAGTTAGTGAGCAGAACCTTTGACTGATAAAAGCGACAGGAAGAGAATTTCAAAAATATACAGGAACACCTCCTCCTAGAAAGTTAAAATTTTAGCGGGGGGGGGGGGGGGGCTTGCAACGTGAGAACACCAAGGGGTGGTTTGCAGCGGAGCGCGGCACACCAGCAGGCTGACGGGAGTGGAGCCGTCAGTCACCTCCTGTCCCGTCCCTCTCCCCTCTCGGTGATGAGTGGCATTTCAAACTATTTGGCCAGTGAGTCATCAGAAAAATGCTAATTTTCATTTTGGAAAAATACTATCTCAGCGGGACATTTCACCGTTATCTGTTCTCCCTAGAAATACAGTGGTAGGGGTGGGAGAACCCAGCCCCTGGAAATTAAAGCCATATGCATACCATATTTAAAAACCAACAACCCATTACATTATTGCTGACCATAGGAATCCAGTATTTATAATTTACATTCTTTCCCATACTTTGCTATTTTTCAGAAGTGAAGAGCAGAGGTTTATGGCCTCACCAGATCGTAAATCAGATTCCTGAGGGCAGAGGGAGCCACTCCAGGGAGGACGCACTGCCTTCAAGTTTGCAGAATGCATCAAAACATCAGGGAAAAACCCCAAATGGAGAGATAGGGCTCTGCTTCAAGGAAGCATGAGGCACCCAAGGCTGACAGCTATTCCTTCCACCGAGCAAGCAGCCGAAACCACACCAGGCCAGCATCTGGACAGTGGCTCGGAGGCTTGGCCACCCCTAATGAAGTGAGCACCTGGACCTGAGTCACACCGAATCTCCTTCCAAAGGAAGGGGAGACAAAGGCGTGGGCATTCTGGGGACTCATCACCACTTACTGGCTGAGGCTGAGGCTGAGGCTGGCTGGGAGGGAGGTGGGGAGAGTGGGCGAAGACTGTGGACTTACAGGGCATAAGACAGGTGCACATGAATCAAGGAGCCAGGAGAGGAGGGAAGAACATAGGCCCGGGTTGATCTGACACCCCTCATGGCTGTTTTCTTGTTCACGTACTTAACCTCTAAAGCCTGAAGACCCTGGAGAAGGAGGATAACACACCAAACTCACCGGATTCACAGATACACATATGGTGCTGGACACGTGGTGGGGAGGGAGTTGTGTAAGGGACACCCTTTCCCCTGGAAATGAAAATGCTACCCTGGCAGTCAGCTCTCTGGCAAAGCGTCTCAAGTGCTAGCGCGGCCACTAGGACTCGGGAGGGAGGGATTCCGACAGCCCCATCCAGAGGTCCTTTGATGGCTCTCAGTGCTGCAATGCTTTTATCTGGAAGATTTGTTAGCAGTGACCCTAGTGAACCACCCCCTGCTTCTGGCCTGGATTTCATCCACTCCAAGAGAAGGTGGAGGATTCTCGGCACTTTGAAAGCCGGAGCTCTTTCTTAAGCCTTTGCCAGGTTGCACCGGTAGAACACAGTACCTAGTCCGTTCACAACACGTGCAGTCAGGCTATGGAGGACGGGCCCAAACAGCCCTGTCAGGCGAGCGGGAACAGCGAGTCTGTAGTCCAGACCTTCCAGTATGGATGTTACATAACCCTGCCTGCAATTCAACTCTGCAATTAAGGCTACTGTGTGCAAACTTCAGACATGAAAACGCAACTTTTGACTCTTTTGGTCTAAAATTTTTCTATTTTTCATTTAAAGGCAAACAAACCTCACTTCGTAGGGTTTGTAGGATCAGGAGTTCCCTTTACTCAGCATCCAGAAAGAGGCCAGACCCTATGTAGCAACACTGGCATCTGAGGTCCTGGGGAGACTGTGTGGAGGGGCAGGAGGCCAGGCAGCTCGGAGGAAACTTCCTGCCATCCCCGGGCATTGTGCCCACAACTTGCAGGCCCCTGGAGCATGTTTTCAGAACGTTCCAATAACAAAGAAAAATAATTAACACCAGGGGCACAAGAGGTTCATATCTAAGCCCAGAATGACTAAGGAGGCTTGGGTGGGGTGGTTACATCAGCTGTGAAAGCAAAACTCTCAGGCAAATTCTATTTTCCTGTCCTCACTGGCTTTCTAGAGGGATGGACCTGCCAATACCAGTCTCCCTGCTGCACGGGGAGAATAATGCTGGGGGCTTAAGAGCCCTGTGCCAGCACTGTGGGCAGCAAGCTGGCCTGCCCACCCCCCTCCAGCCAGGCCGGTGTACAACCTGAGTATGAAGATGTGTAAACTTAGATCAGCCCTGAGGCCTTGGAGCTACTTGGACCTGCTGCAAATCCTTGACTGTATTGATTATGACAACAAACACCTCATAGGACAGCCACAGAGGGAATGTTAGAGGCGGCACACCCACAGGTGAATTTCTGAGATGGACTAAAGGCAGTCTTCAGTAAATACAGGAGACAAGGAAGATCTTATAATTCTGTATTCCCACAAACTAAAAAAATGCACGTCCAACTATTTTTTTCCCTTCTTTTGTACACACTCACAATTCCTTTAAATTCACAGAAGACAGAAAAATAAAAAAGCCATAAGTATTTATTGCATTAAAGATAATATCAAAGTTTAATTAAAAATGTTGCCACCTTCATCTGTAATAGAGCACCAGGTCACCTGTGATTGTGGTAGCATCAGGATTACAATAAAACATGATACAGGGAAATGTTGTAAAAATCTAATTTATGGGCTGGAAACAAGACTGGACAGCACACCGGTCTTAGTCATTACTACGCTGACCCCTGCAAAGAACCACAATCTCACATCTAATCCTTGTAATGCACGCAGATGAAGAGCAGAGATGGATCTGTAATGAAACACTTGTAAACGAAGTCTGGGCTCTCCTTACATTTTGATTTTAATCACATAGTGGGAAATATATTCAAGACTGCAATAGCCTACCTGTGGGATTCCTGGTTTTCATGACAAGCTGCAGAGGAAGCCCACCTGACGAAGCCAGTGGTGGCCCAGGAATTCCAGAGCAGAGTTCGGAGCACACAAGTTACATCCCCTGTCTGAAGTGCTCACTTCAGTCTGGCTTTCAGGGTTTTTTCCCTTTGTGTTTGGCCTCCCTTTCTGAGTCCATCCTGCCCCTGTAAGGGCTACCCAAGTGCACCACTGTCAACAAAACAACAGGTCCAAACCCAAGGTGGAGCCTTGACGAGAGGCATCGCTTCGAGGTGCCTCCATACAGCTTCGGAGGGACTCTGACAGGTCCGGACCTGATGCATTTGATGAAGAATTTTATTTTATTTCTCCTGGATGAGTACTTTACTCACAAGCTCACTCTAGAAACCATCCTGGTGAAAATAAGACTGGCATTTACAGGATGCCTTTCATCAGAACACCTCGCGGTCAACGGAACGTCCCAGTGCTGCAGTGGGAGCTCGGGCAAGGCTTCTACAAATGGGAAACAGACACAGAAAAGCAGGGAGAGGCCATGGAAAGACCGAGAATGACAAAAAGGGAAAAGTACCTAATGGTCACCGCAATGCTACTTAAGGAGAAAAATACACAAATCATTCTTCCTGCATTAAATCTAAAAGCATGGTCTTTTAAGAGGACGTTTGTAATGGTAAGCATGAGATGATTTGCAATCAAATAATTTCCAATAGTAAGTGAGGTCTCTGAAACATGCATTCTATTTCCATCGATGTGAGGCCCATTTCCATAGAAACAGATGGAAAAAGTAGGCCAAACCCAGCAGTATGGTTTCTAGGAGGAATGACAACTGTGGGTCTGGCCAGTCTCGGAAAGCACTGGTTTTGTAACCACTGTAGTAGAGTTCTTACCGAAAGGGGGAAAAAAGTTTAAGCTCCAAGGAAGGGCCTGGAAAGTATCTGAAGACTTTCCTGGCCGTTTTGTACAAAGCCATGTAAAAAAAATGGTCTTGTGCACTTTGCCTTTTGCATATCCCACAGGAAAGTCAAAGTCCCACCTGCAAACAGGTGCCTCTCTGCTGGCCTAGGAGAAAGGAATGTGCTTCATCGGCCGGACTGAGCTATGCATCAGCTAATAATTAGCCAGGGGGGCACTGAGGTGGTAGGCCCAACGCTCTCAGAAAATAACCTTGCAAACACTGTAGAAGCGGCCCAGGCACGAGGACGGAGTCAAGCCAGACGTGTACAGGAGACATGGAAATACTCAGTGCTCAGAAGAGCAAAATTCAGGGAAAACAAAGCAAACTCGCCTACTTTCAAAGAACACAATGTTTGCACTGGGTTGTAAAGTAAGGTGCGTTCGGAGACCGGCAGCTCTGCCCTCCTCAGTGCTCCCCGGCAAGGCTCCCCGGCACAGGGCCGATCAGAGTGGGGGCCCCAGCGCACTGTGCCAGCCGGGCGGCTGCCCGGCACGTCTGTGTGAGACTCTCAACAAGTGGTTGCCAGAGGCCCAGAACACAGGATGTGACCGGCTTGCATGATTCACTGAACCCCTTCACCCTGGAATTCTTCTGCAGAAAAAGAAAAACATTACACTTCTATGGTTAAAGATTTCCTTAAAGGGAGAAAAGACATCGAAACCTTTGTGGTGTGTGAAACGAGGAAACAAAAGGCCTGCTTTCAGCACGTTTATATATATCTATGAGCCAACCAGCTGGGCACCAGCCTCATCAGAGAGAAACCCCACGCGGTGGCTGTAACCATTACCACAGGGGAAAGACGACGGCTGTTGTTCATTTCCTATCGGCCACTTGGGAAGTGTAGGAAGTAGGATGTATGTGTCTTTCACACTCCAAAATACGTATTGTTTTCCTTTTTCCTTCTTACTGTATGAAACACACACCTAGTCATATTATCCTAAAGTCAGTTGAAAAATCCAGTACTTGCTGATAAACAGTGGAAAGTATCCACATGATGCAGAGAAAGGAGCACTTTGCAGAGACAGAGCTTTGACAGGCTTTAATGTGAACGTTTTATTTAAAGCAGGAGCCGCCAGAGCTGAACTATCAGGTAAACATTCTAGAGCATGGCATGGAGGAAAGGTAATACTCACCAGCACCTCACATGGGGGTAAAAGACCATGTCAGCAGCACGCCATGGAAGGAAAACGAAAGGTACAAGGCACCTGGCTGAGGGAGGAGCCGTGTGCACAGCCCCTCGAGCTGTCCACCGCTGTGCACTGTGAGTGTGGCCAGTGGCGTTGGGATGGTACAGAAAAGGTTCTGATCTGGAGCCCAGGATCCTATGTGGGTTGCTAACCTTTCCTCAGACTGTTTACACCTGCTGTGTGGTTTCAGGCCCTAAAAAGGGGATGGGGTTTGCTAAACAGTAACACAAAAGCTCTTCCTTTTCTTTTTCTAGACGAGAGAGGAGCCCTCCCCAGTTCAGTCAGCAGTGGCTTCTGAAGGTTTTCAAGCAACCTAACTTAAAAACAGATGACAACAAGATAAAAAACAAAAAAGAGGCCTAAATGTAAACCAATCGAATGGAAAGGCAGATTCACTAAAAGAACTGGTGACCAGTTAATGTCCTGTCTGATTGAAGATGTTTAATCTGTATCCACAAACTCACAAGCACAAAGCTGCTCTTGGCAACTGTGAGTAAATAGCTACCTTTTCTTTCAAACATACTGTACTGCTTGCTACAGGTGACTGCATGCCAGGTGCTGACCTTAAAAGAGACCCCACATTGGCAAAGGACCCCAGGCAGTGGCCTGCCTGATGCTGCCGTGTCTGTGGGAAACAAGACTCACACCCTTAAATAGTGACACCCCCTCCCAAAGTCCCCTCTCCTCTTCCCGTTTGCACTGTGTGTTTTGACCTCCTAGCAGGGAGGTCCAAATGATTCCGTCTCCCTCTCAGTTCTAGGCACTCTCTGGAACATCTCTGATTAACCAAGGTCTTTCATTTCTTTCCAACTCCGTTGGTGACTTTTGACTTGGAATGTCGATTTCTTCTTCTGGAAGAATGGCTTTCGTTGTTGCCTGGATGCTTGGGTGGGCTGTCTTCAGAACCTGGCCAAAGGAATCAGTATAGGCCGTCACCACAGGCTGTGGGATTCCCTGGCTTCCTCAGATTTGTAGCTGTCCCTGCCTAGCTGCCCTAGGCCTGTCGGTAAATGCAGGCTCTTCCACTGATACTTGCCTGCCCCCTAGTGGACTCACTAACAAATTTAGGCAAGGCACAGAAACCCCAAAGCAAAGCTAGTTAGTATAGCAGGTGCCTGGGTATGCAAGGCACACAGTCCAGGGGTGGGGTCCTGCAGAAGCCTTACCATCACACTGTGTAGGGGACATCGTGGACATGGTGATGGGAACCAGAAATGTGAGTACAAATGAAATGAAAGCACAAAGGATGGGCAGTTAAAGTTGAAGCCGCATGGGTGTCAAGTCTACCCTTGCAACCAAACAGTGCATTACCTAGGTTTCCACACCATGAAGATGCTCAGTCTACAGCGACAACATCTGTCACACTATATACTACACACTAGTTTCTAATCCCTTAATTGGATAGGATTCCTGACTTTAAAAAATTAAAAATATATACGCTCTCTATCATCTGATCCGCAGGCCACCTTCACAAATATGCTCATGACAGACAGCGCTGGAGCCACACCATGAAGATGCTCAGTCTACAGCGACAACATCTGTCACACTATACTATTTGAGAGCGCAGAGAAACTTCCACATCAGCTGAGAGCTGAGCCATCCACCAGCAGGCATCAGCCAGGTGGAAGGTGGGCCGGGGGCGTTGGGGGAGGGGGACATTCCAGTTAGAGATGTGTAAGGCTTAGGAGGTCCGCGAACTTTATGGCACTGGACAGGCTCTGCTCTTAGGTTCTGTATATGGCCAACTCCTGGCCTCACAGTCAAGCCAAAAGGTTGTCTGTCCCAGGGCTCAGCCCCAGAGGAAATCTCCACCTGAGACAGCCACTAAGAAAAAGTTCTGAGGGTTTCGGTCTCCATTGTAAGGGGCATTTGGCTTATTCCAAGAGACACTTTTACCACTCTGAAGGTTTCTTTCTTTCTTTCTTTTTTTACTATTCTATCTACCTTTCATTGAAATATATCTCTAGCCCTGCTTCCCACTTTTGCTCTTTCCGGTGGAGAAGTACTCGGAAGAGCAAGGACTGATCTGTGGGAGCGGGATGCTCTGGGAAGCTCTGGGACCCCTCCGCCCATTTCTGTCGGCATTCCAACAGGCTGCTGATCAACTCTTTGATTAAGCAAAAACCACTTCAAAAAGGGTATGTGGCAACTCAGTGGGGTGTGTGACAGTGTCTTCCTGAGGCAGAGCTCTGCAAAGCCTGACACCAGAATTCAGGAGAGCAACCATGGCAGGACTGCTTTCCTCCCCCTGGGCCCACTGTTTCCGAAGCAATCTGTGAGCTGACACTCAGTCTCTAGCGTCCATAATGCTCTCCCTTCAAAAGGCCTTCCACCAGCTCATAAGAACTGGCAAGAAACTGCGGTCCACTGGAGCCTCCTCAGTGTCATTATTCCATGGGCCCAATTCTTTAAAATAACCAGGTGGCCACACAACTTCCCAAAATGCTCCCTGAAGAGAACCCTGGGAGACCCCTGACTACACTAGACATCCCTCTTACACTGGCCTGCCTCTGGAATAAATGTGATACATCGATCTGCTCTTTTGAAAGGCTTTTCCTTCTGGCACACAATTCTTTCTAACGCTTTTTGCTCAGGATAAAAGCCCAGAAGAACACTCCTATCAGTACGCTTGAGAGATGCGCGCTTCGCAATGTCTTCCCGCCCAGAGAGGGGGAACTACGTGGCGCCCCCTCTCCAGCACGTTTTTTGGGCAGATCCTACGAGCACTTTGCATGTTTCTTAATGAGCAACAGGAGGCATGCGTGAGGAAGCTTGAGACCCATTTACCAGCATTCAGAGGAGAAGTACCGATTCTGAATCTCCTCACTGGGCCTTGGGAAGGGCAGGACCCAGTCAAGTTTTAAACAATAAGCAAAAAAGAAATACCTTTTGTACATTTCCCATGAGGCCAGGAAATATCTGGGCTGTAGGTGCCATCGTCACACTCTGAGTAGGTCTAGGAAGACAAGCAGGCTCAGTGAGGAATCTGGAGGACTCCGGGGGGGGGGGGGGCGCAAATGAGTGACATGCTCTGGCCCTGCCTCTCCTGGCTTGGTCACCGCCACCACGCTACAGAGCCCCCTCATGCTTATGTTCTGCGGCTGTGAAGCCAAGGTTATCTCCCAGGTGATGCAGAACAAAGCTTCTAGAAAGTACCTTTTATTCCTCAGACTCAAGGTATGAATAAAGGATGAAAAATGTTATTTTTACTTTTAAAAAATGACAGCTGACAAGACTGCTATAGCATTTTAAGCCCGCACACATCTATTCTCCCGTTAATCCTCACACCCACCGAGGTGGGAAGGCAGGCATTCTGCGATGAAGCCCAGGCTGGACACAGGAAGAGGCCAGACAACGTGCAAGGGCCGGGGACAGGACTTTTCCAAAACGTGGTCCTGGGCTCTCCCCACAATTTTTAAAAACATTACGTTAAAACCTCTTACAAAAGGAGGATAAACATTATGACACACAGAACAAGGCGGTCACAAGCACGAACAGCAACCAATAGGGAATGAGTTCTGAACTGGTTAAGTTTCTACACGGGAGACGGAGCCCAGCTGTCACGCGCCGGCCACCCACTCTCACACGAACACGCTCCGGGCTAACGCTCCAAGCCCTGTCACACGGTAACTTCAGATACAGACCACCCTGCCTTCCCTCAGATACCTTTTCCCGGTGCCCGCAGTGCTCTGCGTACCACACCATGCCGTACAGGCACAGGAAGGTGGTGAAAGCCTGGAAGGGAAAAACAAGCTCGTTTTATAAATGCTGGTGCACAAATTCCATTTCCCAGAACTTCTGGGTTGCGATGGCATTCACGCTAGACGGCTGGGTGTGTTTCTGTCATTATCCTAGGATGCTGGTTACAAAGTGACTGGATGTGGCAGAGATGAACCCCAGGAGATGAGTTGGGGACCATCCCCAAAGCCTCTGACAAGAAGAGTTACGAGAGCAGTTACTACCTGCGATTCGACTAGCAGAAGGCAAACCACGTTGAGCTGCGGGATAAAGGATGCCCTTTCTGAGGGACTTTGCTGGTCATACAGGACACAAAGAGGACACACAGGAGTCTCTTCTGTGTTCTGGTTTCATGGCCCACCCCCCCTCCATCAGGGGGGAGAGTTATAAGGACTCTGCTTGTCACCTTCTGAGGAGGAGAGGATATCTGAGGATATTCATTCACTCTGGGTCACGGCCGGGAGGGCATCCAGGGCAAAGGGCATCGTGTCGGCGGCAGAACACTGCTGCCCCTGCTTTGCACTGCCTCCAGCCTCCACGGCCACACCCTGGCCCCGGCTCTGGTAGCTTTTTGTTTTTGTTGTTTAAGTACATAGGAAAGTGAAGGGGAAAAAAGCCCTGTAAACTCCTCAGTGAAATGAGAAGGGTGTGGTCCATGGGGACCCAGAGGCAGGGAAAACTGACAACCTCGACTCCCCCCTAGCATCCCCACCTACCCTGCACCACACTAAATTATACTCCCAGGGAAGGCAAGAACCCAAAGGCTAAACACGGTCAAACACAGGGTCGGGGGAGAGTTCCTGGCTGCCTAGACTGCGTGGTGACGGAGAGGGCGCATGCGGCTCAGGGCGAGGACAGGTCCTGGCCAAGCCCTCTGATCACCTGCGCCTCACCTTCCTGACTGCAGGGGACCAGCCAGAACACGACTGCCCACGCCACCCCTACCTTCCTTGGGAACACCTCTCTTCACTGTTCGGTAGACACCAGCCTCACTGTCTAACCTCCGTCTCCCTGGGGGGGACCTATCCCTGGCCCAGCTGTGGGAACAGGTGTGGAATGTGGTGGATCCTTCTGAGGAATACTTCTCATTCTTGCTAAGAATCATAACTTTAGAGCTAAAAGGGTCACCACACAGATCATTAACTTCAACTCCCGTCATTTCACAGGAGAGGAACGAGAGTGGCCCCACTGAGGACACGCAGCTAGTATGTAGCAAAACTGGAGGCAGGACACAGGCCTCCCGATATCCCCGGACACAAGGGGTAGGGGTGGCTGTTGAGCTAAACACTGACTTGATGCCTACACGCCTTCACACCTTTATCCATCCACTCATCCCCTCCTCCAGCCCCAGAGAATGAAAAGGATCACAGGAGCAGCCAGCGCCCACAGCACCCGCTCTGCGGGGACCCAGTCTGCAGGGAGAAGCCACAGTGCAGGGAAGGCAGGCGACGGGAAGTCTCAGCACTGCCGCCGGCAGTTCAGCTCTGGCCCAGTTCCTCTGAGGTAACAATAGTCACTAAGTGTCTGTAAGGAAAGAAGAGGCTGAGTGCTCCAACCGCCCCCCAGCCCAAATCAATGAAGTGGGGAGAACGGCAGGGTGGAGGGTAACAGGAAACACTCAGGACCACCAGTCCCTTTTCTATTAAATCCACACGCACACTGTGGTATAAAACAAAAAAGAGCTCACATTACCCCATCAAAAAATAAGGCAATGAATGAATATATTAAAATTATAAAGTGAAAACTACTTCTCACCTTTACCATCCTCTAGCACATGCTCAAATTTCTAACCTACACCACCCACTACACGTACCACCTTCAAGGACTGGGAAGAGTGGGAAAGACTAGGGGAACTGCAGTGCGTTAGCCTATGTGTGCGCTAGGTCCTTCACAAGGAGCAACACGGGCCATCCTGTTTCACTAGAGGGGGAGGTTGGGAGGACAGGCCCGGCCTCTGCAGACCGGTCAGTGGCTGTGCAGTGGGGGTGGGGAGGCAGAGCAAGGTCACTCCGCTAGGCCAGTGGAAACAGGGAGGGCTGGGCTGTCCATCACAGGGCAGGTGCGTGAGGCTCTTCCTCACCCGCCCCCAGCCCCACCCCTGGGAGGGCAGCTGGGCAGACAGCGCTGCAGGGGACAGGCAGACACCGGCAGGAGGTGAACTATCATTACCCCCCACACAAAGGGCCTACTGTGGCTGCCAAATCTACCACTTCACCTGGGTACAGAGGGCCTAGTTCACACTAGTCCCAGGAGACAAGAGCTTGTAATTTGGGGTTTGCAATCACACCTGTGGAAATCTAGGCAAGTACCCACTTAAAGTGCCAAGGCCTACATTTAAAACAGCAGTTGTACAGATTTTGTTTAAAGAAAGGAAAGAAAAAACGAAAAAGAAAAAGCACATGTGGGATGAGAGCCAAGGCTGTGGGGCGATGAGGGCGTGAATGCGGGTTGGTGGCCCGGCCACGGCATGCAGACCCACCAGGGCTGGTCAGACAACCGCTGCTAGAAGCCTGTCGGCCAGCAGTGTGGGTCTGCGCCCCACCAGTCTGAAGTTCCCGGTGTGTTCTCCTCCCAGCAAGGGGAGTCCTTAGGGCCGTGTTCCTGAGTCACGTGGGCGGCATGGCGTACACAGGTAACACTCCTTTACTGAGTATGTTCACCTCCCTCCCGAGTTTGAGATGGATCTTGATCTTTAGTCAAGGCCATGAGTACAAAAAAGCACCAGGACCTTGTTTCCATTCTTCTCCCTTAACTGGTAAACGTGCAAAGCACTGGAGACCCCTAACCATCCCAGCAATGGCCTCATTTTGGGCCACCCCCACCACGGCACTCAGCAAACAGCAGTTGGCAGAATCACTTGCCTTCTAAGTCCTGCTCTGCAGCGCCTGTGTCTCAGCCCCTGCCTGGCCTCTAAATGTGGCTGCTCCACAGAATTCCACCCTCAACGAGCTTTTCTTCCCCACACTGTGTCCGCAACCAAATCCAATGGCCCCAGCTGTGCCCTACACACCCATGGCCCCAACCTTCTATCTCCAGGGCCGACCCAGTCTATCCAGTGCTAATGGACACACTGGAATTTCCAATGATACAGGACACCTTCACCTGTAAGTTTTAAGGGTCCCTAAACCCCAATGCCCCAAACCCAATTCATCTCCTCTCAAGGGACTTCTCTGATATCCCCAGTCTGTAACTAGCACTGACAGCCACCCAAGGGCACAAGTTGGACACCCTGGAGTCACCCTTCAGCCCCTTCCCAGCTGTCACAGAGATGGCATCCTATGGAGGTGACCTCTTGAGCAGCTCTCAAGTCCAGCCTTCTCTGTATCTTCAGTGCCACTGCCAGGGTTCAGCCTGTCATTTCTCACCTAGGACCCTGCAACACCCTCAGCCTGCACCCCTCCTCCAACCCTTCTTCCCTCCAGAATCTCCCACCCTCCAGTTTCTTTGAGATGTCCTCCCACTGAACAACTTCTTTGGGTCTCCCACTACCGACACACAGAGTCCTCCTAGCAGAGGTCCCCCCTCCTCTCCCCCTCCGAGTTCTCCTCACTCTTGCTCTTCAACAGATCACCATCTAGAGACAGCTAACAGTTATAGAAAATACAGAGGACAAAGAAATCTGTTAAATTATAGCATAGGATGAAATCAGTAAAATCCAGACTGGAAGAATCTACAGGACAAAAAAAGTAGTTTCTTCAACAAAATAATTGCAAGGTGAGAGAGCTAGATAGAAGAAAATTGTAAATTAAAAAAGACTTAAGCTCTGGCCAGTGTGGCTCAGTGGATAGGCGCCAAAGGGTCACGGGTTCAATTTCCAGTCAAGGGTATGTATGTACCTGGGTTGCAGGTTTGATCCCTGGCCCTGGTCAGCGTGTGTGCAGTAGGCAACCAATCGATGTTTCTGTCTGTCTCTCGCTCCCTTCTCTCCCTCCCTTCCATTCTCTATAAAAAATAAAAAATTCAATGGAAAAAAAAATCCTTGGGTGAATATTAAAAGAAAAAAAGAAAGACTTAAAAGGCATGCCAACAATTGTAAAAGGGTACTGATTCAAATACATTTAAAAAATACAAAATTTAAGAAAATGTTAGTAATCTGAACATTGATTAGATGTTTGATAATGTTAAGGATTATTATTAATTCTTTTTAGGTGTGATAATGGTTGCATTAACAAAAAAAGAAATCTTATCTTTTTTTAGAGCTACATCCCAAAATATTACTGGTAGCTCTGCTTCAAAGTAATCTGGAGTGGTGGACACAGAGAGCAGGAAATATAAGGAAACAAGATTGGCTGAGTTGGTAATTGTTGAAACTGGATAATGGGTACACAAGGGGTCATCTACTCTATCTACTTCCAAACATATTGTAAGTTTCAATAATTATAAAGAAAGTGCAAATTAATTTTCTGGACCAAGTAAATAAAGAATCCTAAGCTTAAATGTATAAGAAGATTTTTCTCCAAAATGACAAAACAACTATGTTAAGAAGGACAGTCACCGAATATGAAAGCTAGGTAAAATCTCCGTTCACATTAAAGGCGAGAGAGGCGTCCGAGGACAGGGAGCTGGAGGCCCCAGCGGTCTGCCCTTCAGAGAGGAAGCCCACCCTACCCAGGCGTGGCCTGGAAAGCTGGCTGGTGGGACAGAAGCTGCACAGTCTGATTACCTTCAAAACCATCTCACATGGTCTATAAACGACAGTCCGTCATTTTGTACATAAATGCTTGTACAGAAATGTGTATGTTATAGACCCTGTAACTGTTCTTGACCCTTGGAGGCAGGCCTGAAATTCTTAGTGTGTGTAGACGAATACCCGTGATGAGTAGAATAAATGCGTGTATAATGCACCTGCTGAGGACTTCTGACCAGAACCAGTGAAGGTGACCTATTTTGGATGCCATATGGTTCTGTGTTTACTCTTGAACTTCAGACTGGTGGCCAATCTCAGGTTATTACAAATAGAATGTCCTGTCTATGAATTTCTAAGAAATCTTGGTGCACAGAGAGTTTTTTGTTTTCAAAGAGACGAAAGGGAGAGTTTAGCTAACCCTTTGGGTAAAAAAGGAATGACTTACCACACAAAGAAGCCAAAGCACAACATACAGTATCTGTGTCTTAGAGAAGAGATCTTGTCCAAATTTTATGCAAACAATAGCTTCCAGGAAACCAATGACCCTAGTTACACAAAGAACAAGAGGTTAAATACTAATTCATATTATCAGAGCATATACATTACCAGAAATATGAATTATTCCATTAAAAAGTTCAATTGGTCATAAGATTTCTGCCCCAAACACTGGTAGCAGTTTCCCCACAAATTGACATTGTTCGACCCCACTGCACTTCCTTAAAAAATAATATACAGTAGACCTCTGAGCAGTATGGTTTGAACTGTGTGAACTCACACACACTGTTTTCAATAAATATTGTAAATGTATCTGCTTTTCCTTATGATTTCCCAAAAACTCTTTTCTCTAGCTTATGCTAGTATAAGAATGCAGTACACAATACATATAACATACAAATATGTGTTGTCTGTTTATGTTATCGGAAATCTTACTGTTCAACAGTAGGTGATTAATAGTTAAGTTTCGGGGGGAGTCAAAAGTTATATGCAAATTGTTGACTTCAAGGGATTGGTACCCCTCATCCCCATGTTGTTCCAGGGTCAACTGTGTGTATAGATATATATATTTACTCGTTTCTATTTTAAAGACTTTAGTTTTTAGAGCAGTTACAGGTTCAGTGAGACTGAGGCGAAGGTACGGAGATTTCTCTTATACTCCTGCTCTCACACATGCCCACCCTCCCCCACTATCATATCCCCCCCGAGTTACAGAGTAACCCCCACTGGTTACAACTGATGAACCTACACTGACATGTCAGTATTACCGAAAGTCCATAGATGACATTAGGGTTCACTCTTGATGCTGTATGTTCTAGGGGTTTGGACAAATGTATAATTACATGTATCTACCATTACACAATCATTACAGAGTAGTTTCACTGCCCTAAAAATCCTTTGCACTCTGCCTATTCATCACTCTGCCCCTCCCCAGAGATAACAAAATATGTTTTACTTCTTCCTTTCCGCCAAGACTAAAATATCAGCTCACACATTTTAACAGCCGGAGGCTATTAAAATGTATGGCATCATCTAACTCAAGGCCTGTTACCACCAGGGTGGACAGTCACCACCTGCTGGAACCCTTTCAAGGACAGGGAACCGGCTACCTTCGTAGGCAGCCTGTTCTGCTGCCAGTCTCTGGCTATTGGGAGGTTTTTCCTCGCCTCTGGCTGGTATCTGCCTACTTCCACCCGTGGGTCCTGACTCTGCCCTCCGCTACCCCACAGGGTGAGTCTGAGCCCGCCAAGCAAGGCTTTCGATAACTTGAAGGTAGAAATCACATTCCCTCCCAGCCTTCTAAGAAATTCCAGATTCAATATCCCCTGTGTCTGCTGACAATGTAAACTTTTTATCCTCTCTTGATCTGTAAGCAGTTTTGCTAAATACAAAAATGTTTTAAAAAACTTCATGTTTTATTGTTTAATTAAAACATCAAAGAAAAAAGCCCCTCTTACGTTCTACATCTTCATTTATGTATATAAAAACCAAACCTCTACTAATATTCAGAGCTCAGGTAAGAACCGATGAGGGGAGGGGCCACAGCTGGCCCTGCGACCCCAGAGACTGCTTAACACATGCCGACTTCCAAGTCCGATGTAGAGCTCCCTGCTGGAGGGGAATCAGCTGTCGGGCTGGTGTGGCGACACAGACACTCTCTAAAAGGAAAGAAGGGGCCCAGAAGGCCTGTGTCCCCTACCACCAGCAGACACAGAGGTCACTGCAATCATCAAAGGTATGGGTGGCTTTAAAACAACTGGGTGTCTGGAACCAGGACCCCTTTAGCAAAACAGAAAATGTCCTTAATATATCTTCAGAGTTTGGGGCTGTCTCTTCCCCTCACCCTCACCAGACAAGGTTTGGCAGTGGCTGGCCTGAATCTGTGGAGCCTGCCCTAACCCCAACAAAGCAACGTTTTAGCGGCGACACAGCACACTTTTAACTGTAGGTATGAGTTTCCCTGTGATCCTGAAGCCTGGACTGTGAGCTGACGCTAGAGGGCAGCTAAGCTTCGGCTACTTCCAGGCTGTGCAGCGAAGGAGAGGTGCCTGCCTGTGGACATCAAACGAATATTGAACCTTCAGCTGGGACTTTCTGAAGAACTACAATGGAAAGTGTTAAGCCCAGGAATAAGTGTGCTATCTGCCCTCGGGTCAGACAGAACACTAGAGTTTATTGTGAGATATTGAACTCATGAGTGACCTTTCAAAAACACGGTGACAGCAGACCACAGCAGTATTTCTCAAAATTCTGTGATCTGAGTCCCACAGCAGAAACACAGTTTTTTTTATCCTCACCTAAGGACATTTTTCCATTTTTTGTTCAGATAGAGTGGGAGGGGAGGGAGAGAGAGGAAGAGAGAGAGAGAGAGAAACATCAACGTGAAAGGAACATATCAAGTGGCTGCCACCCGTAAAACCCAACCAAGGCCGGGGAAAAACTACAACCGAGGTACGCTCCCTTAGCAGGAATTGAACCCAGGTCTCTCTGGACCGCAGGCCGATGCTCTAACCGCTGAGCAAAACTGGCCAGGGCAAAACACACTTTTTATGGTGACTCAGTACACGCGTGCGTGTGCACGCACACACACACACACACACACCCACCCACCACCACCACCACCACACAGAAACAAAAGTTTCACCAAATCCTTTGTCTCCTTACCCTAACACTTTTCTATTTCACTTTATGAAGATGCTGGTCAGGACCCACCCAGTTGACTTCATGATGGACTGAAGTTGGCTCTGAAGACCAGAACTTTTCAGTCACCAAGTTTAGGATGTGCTTTGCTGCTACGTGCTAAGGAATCCTGGCTAAGCAGCTGTCCATGCATGCGGCCTTCTCAGTGAGGTGACCTTTGAGCAAAGACTAGGTGGAAAGACAGGGCAGTGTGGGCAGCACTGGAGTGAGGGCAAGGGTCAGAGTTGAGTCACAGGGTAGCGTGGATCTTGAGGGCCTCCCTAGGGCTTGGCTTTTAGTCTGAGGGAGCCAGGAGCCCCTGGATGGTTTGGAGTAGAGGATTTAACATTATTCGATGTACATTTTAATAGGATCCATCTGGTGGCTGAGCTGAGAGCTGATGAGGAGGCAAGGGCAGAAACAGGGAGGCTTCTAGCACAAGGGGAGTACCAGGAAGCAGCTGTGATGTGAGAAGTGGTGGGGACTGGGAGGCACTACCCCAAAATCACATGGACTCTAATCACCAGCCTCTGCCCCAAAGGGACTCCTAATAAAGAACGCCCTTTTGGGCCCAGCCGGTATAGCTCAGTGGTTGAACATCGACCCATGCATCAAGAAGTTACTAGTTCAATTCCCAGTTAGGGCACATGCCTAGGTTGTGGGCCCAATCCCCAGTGGGGGGCATGCAGGAGGCAGCCAGTTGATGTTCCCTCTCATGGATGTTTCTAAATCTCTCTCTAAAATCAATAAAGAAAAAATATTTTTTTCAAAAAAGAACGTCCTTTTGGAAGGTTAACATTACTTTTGTACAAGACTCAAATGGCTGCTACTTTAGGGCTGAGGCCAAGGCTTGGGTTGGGTGGGGGCCTATATGAAGGGAATGTGTGTGTGTGTGTGGGGGGGGGTGTCCCTGAACTCAGGGCAAACTGAAACCTCTGATCTTTACCAAACTGGGCTAGGTGGCCAATGGGGCCTGATGAAATTCAGTGAGGGCTCCCGCTCCCTTTGATGCCTGTGCCATTTTTATCTCGAATGAACAGGGTTAGAAGGTAGACAGTCCTTTGGGCTGCCTGAGGCGCTTCTGCCTGGGGTGGGGCTGGTCAGCACTCCCACTCTCAGCCCCCTCTGGAGACCAGATGAAAATGAAGACGTTAACGCAGAGCCAGGGTACAAGCTCCTCAGTGCGGGGAACAGGAACGTGAGCAGGGCTATTACAGAAAGTGGAAGCTCAAGGCTCCTCCTGTGAGCTGGGGTTCAAGCAGAGGAAGTTTTCAGTCGGCCACGGACACCCGGACACCCCCGCTGGATCTGAGGCTGCCACAGCCTGCCTGCATGGCACAACTCTGCCCCCGCTGCAGGAGATGCTCAGGCACCGGTGTGGGTGAGCCTCTGGCCGGCCGGAAGGTGACCCAGCAGCAGCGGAAACGAGGCCTGTGTAACATGACCCGACTGTTACACCATCACACAGAGCCCGGGAGTGTTCCAGAGTGAGTGCGGCTCTGATTGGGTGGGCAAGAATGCCTGTTCGGAGGAAGTGACAGCTGAGCAGGACTTACCAGCAGAGACTTCCCACTGTGCTCCTGGGGCTTCCTGACTTCCCCAGAACCAGGGGCGGGGGGAGGGTGGAGAGGGCAGATCGGCTCAGGTGGGACACCCAGTACAGCTCTCCTCACTAGTTCTGATGTACATTAGGGTTGGGGCAAGATGTCATTTGAGGAGCGATATTCAGCTGCTAAATAAAAATAACTACGGCCAGGGGCGGGGGCTGTCAGCGGAGGTGCTTCAAAGCAAGGGGGCAGGGAGGGGCACGGTGAAGTCCTGCGGAGGAGGGGATGAAGGGACGGTGCTGGGAGAGGGGAGCTACCCTAGCCGTGAGAGCCGGAGGGCCTGAAACAGACTGGAGAGAAGGCGCGGATGGGAGGGGAGGCTGTGAACCGGCAACAGGAAGATGGTGGGGGCGGGTAGTGCCGGGGAGGTCAGGAGTCAGACGACACCTCTTACAGTTGTCCTCAGCACACGTCCTCCTCCTGGATGGACCCTGTGCTTCGTGTTTGTCTATCCTTAGAAAAGAGCCTGGAAGAAGAATGGCACAATCCTAAGACATTCTTATGGGTGGGTGAGGGGGTGGAATGGGAAGCCAGCAGAGGACACTGAGAAGAAACAGAAAAGTGGGAGCAAACACGGCGGCCGTTGCAGAAGGCAGAGAGGGGCTGTGGGAGGGGAGATGCTGCGGGACGGCAGAAGAGGTGCCGGTGGAGAGGGGACCTGCTGGTACGGGGAGCTGAGCTGGGAGAGGACAAGTGGGCAGAGCAGCAGAGGTGGAATGCACTGTGACAGGTGCCAGCAGGGTTGGGATAACATGCAGGAAACTTAGGGCTGAGGGGCCAGTTCTGACAGCAAGGTGGCCCCCAGGCATGGTCCACGCTTCCCAAGCCAGGAACTCTTGGGAAGAGGACAAGTGACTGCTCTCTCCAGCTAAAGCCAAAGCTCGGACACCCTCCTTCCTGGGCCAGGTCTTCAAACAGCTTCTCTTATAAGCCAGGCGAATTCTCTTCTTTTCAGGCACAGAAGCTGCATTATAGAGTGGAGTGGGAGAAAGGAAGGTAGAGATGATGGAGGAGATAAAGCGCACACCTGGGGGTCTGGCCCTGCTGCTCCCACAGGGCTGCCGCGATGGAATGCAGCTTTCTGAACAGAGGAGAAGCCAACTGTTCACACTGCTGCCCTCTCCCCGGGGGTCCCGCTCCCCAGCCGGGCGCAGCCCTCCCTGCCGGGCACAGCACATTTAAGCTGAAAATGCTCACAGGCTCAGATCTCTGGCAGACCTGTAGACCACATTGTAGGTCTGTATTTAATTATGTCAGTGAGTAATTAACGCAAACTTTGTGAGGGCACCACATTCACAGGAAAGTGCCCTCAGGAAACCACGTGCACCAGTGGGAAAGAAGCCTCGAGGTCCGGTTGGACCTTCCCCTCCCCACCTCCCCAAAGGCAAACTCCAGTCCCTGCAGGGGGCACCTTGCTGAGGCTGAGCTCACTCCAAAATCAGTGAAAAGAAACCCTAAAGCAGCTATCAGTGATGAAAGGAAATCAGACATTTAAATGTTTGCTGCTATGACAGGAGATGGAAAAAAGGCAAAATGAAGGCAACAGTGCGGTCGGGGAGGGGATGGTCCAGGACAGGGAGGGGTGCCCCCGAGGGGCAAACACTGAGAGCGAAGAGACCACACCAGGGGCTCACCAGAGGCTCAGCCTCCTGTCACCTTCTCCAGCTGGCTACATGGATCTGCAGAGGCAGCTCGGGTCCACCCACCCAGTGGATCTGCTGGTTTGATTTATGAAGAGGGCTTTGTTCCTTTTCAGCATGGCCCACGAATTCTCAAGATTCATTAATCTTGATATCACTATACTGGGAGTTCTCAATTCTCAACAAATATACTAAATTAGACAAATGATCTTTTCTTTGCATTTCACTTCGTCACTTTTCGGCAAGGCACACCTTACTACAGCAGTGTTTCCTGCCACTCTGGCCACTGCTCCCGCCACAGGATTTCATTTTTCAACCGCCTGATGGGAGAGGAACTTGGCTGTAACACTACCTCTCTCTCTGATCTGCATCTCCTTTCTCTCAACAGGCAAACAGACACACAGTTCTGCAGAAAATATATCCCCTCCACAGCAGACTAAGACCGTAACAAGAGCTGAACTTTAAATGTGAAGAGAAAAATGAGTGTGGAAAGAATAGGCGAGTGGTAAAGAGTTCAAATGCAGGAAAGATCACCTCCTCCTTGGGCAAAAATATAAGGAAAGACCAGGAGAAAAGCTCACCCTCCCTCCCTTCTATGACTCACACAGCCTTGTATATTAGAAATCTGGTAGGTGTGTACAATTCTTTCACCTGCTAGATCTCTAAACATGAGAAATCTAATCTAACTTATCACCCTTTAAACTGAAATCACTTTAGGTAGGAAAATAAGCTCACATCACAGAGTTTATGAGAAACAAATGACAATGGCCCTTTGTCTTCAGGCAAGGGTGGATTTACCTAAATCTAATTGAGTAGCCCCTCAAAATCTGGAATGTGAACTGGATGTGTGCATGCGCATGTGTGCGCGCGCACGCGCACACACACACACACACACACACACACATTTAGAAGGAATACTATTGCAATGTTAGCAGCAATTATCTCTAAATGACTGACTTCTTTGGATGATCTTTAGTTTCTACCTTTTAATTGGAAAACAGTTATCCTTTTTAAAAAGCGGTTGAAAGCAATAATTTCTCCCTACTATAGTTTTCCATCAAAGTTTCATGAAATAAATGCTTTCAATTCAATTTAGAAGCTAGAATTTTTAATCTAAGCTACCTAAGGGACTGAATGTCATGTGCAGATTTGCTGGATGTCTCTATAACTTCAAATGCTAAATGGCATGGTGAATTGTTGATGGTGTTTAAGAATCACTTACCTGGCATACTAAAGGTGGCCTCACATTTCACATGGGGGGAAGGAATGTAAATTAGATAACCTGTGGTTGTTTCATCTCTTTAATAATAGTAAATTTGGATACAACATTTGTATCCGTAACAAGACAATAAATTGTGACCATGCGGTCATGTGTTAATTCTCTTTGGGACAATAAATTATACTTAGGCATATATCAAACAGCTGTTTTGCAGAGTCTTTCTGATGTAAAAGTAACATAAAGTGTGGGTAAGCCCATCACAAAATGATGTCTCAAACTTATTGCTAAATTCCGAAGAAACTGGAAAATTCTATTTTGTATCTAATATATTTAATAAAATAAGGTATCTGAGTTCTAGATGGGAGATATCTTTTGATTTCCTAGTATTTCTTTAACAGTTTATATACCCTTGTTCTATAATTTGCCAATTAACTATTCTAAACTTAAATCAGAAAAGGTAGTGTTAAAGATGGAAGCCATTTACTATTATCAATAAATCAACAAACAAGTGGTGGAGAAGAGGGAACCCTTGTGCACTGTTGGTAGATTACAAACTGGTGCAGTCAGTGTGGAAAGCAGTATGGGGGTTCCTCAAAAAATTAAAAATAGAACTAGCACATGACCCAGTAATTCTACTTCTCAGTATATATCTGAAGAAACCCAAAATACTAATTCTAAAAGATATATGCACCTCTATGTTCACTGAAGCACTGTTCACAACAGCAAGGTATGGAAGCAACCCAAATATCCATCAATAGACAAATGGATAAAGAAAATACGACACATGTACACAATGAAATATCACTTGGCCATAAAAAAAGAATGAAATCTTAACATTTGTGACAACATAGATGGACCTAGAAGGTATTAATTATGCTAAGTGAAATAAGTCAGACAGAGAAAGACAAATACCATATGATTTCACTTATATGTAGAAGCTAAAGAACAAAATAAATGAACAAACAAACCAAACAGACTCACAGGTACAGAGAACAGACTATGATTGCCAGGTAGGAGGGGTGTTGGGGGCCTGGGCAAAAAAGATGAAAGTATTGAGAAGTACAGATTGGCAGTTACAAAACAGTCACAAGGATATAAAGTACAGTATAAGGAATATAGCCAATAATATTATAATAACTATTTTGGTGCCAGGTGGGTACCAGACTTATCAGGGGGATTACTTCGTAAATTACATAAACGTTTAACCACTATGCTATACAGCTGAAATTAATATAAAATAATATTGAATGTCAACTATAATTAAAACACAAAATTAAATGTAAAAAATATAAAAATAAACCCGACCAGTGTGGCTCAGATGGTTGAGTGCTGTCCCATGGTTTGATTCCCAGTCAGGGCGATCCCCAGTGGGGGGTGTGCAGGAGGTGGCAGATTGATATTGCTCTCTCATCAATATTTCTCTCTCTCTCTTGCCCTCCTTTCCTCTCTCTCTAAAATCAATAAAAACATTTAAAAGATAAAATCAAAAATATCTACTAAGCATTTAGAAAAACCAAATTTGAAGCTTTTAATCTACCTTAATTAATTAATTTATTTTTGTTAATCCTCATCTGAGGATATTTTTCCATTGATTTTTTTTTTAGATAGAGTGGAAGGAAGGGAGGGAGGGATGGAGAGAGAGAGAAACATCGATGTGAGAGACACATCAACTGGCTGCCTCCTGCATGACCCCAACCAGGGCCAGGGATCAAACCTGCACCCCAGCACAGGCCCTTGACCAGAAATCGAACCCATACCCATTGGTCCACAATTGATGCTCTAACCACTGAGCAAAACTGGCCAGGGCTAATCTACCTTAATTTAAAAGGCATTATCAGGTAATTATCAAATTCACTGTACTTGATCTTTTAAGAATAAAAATAATTAAGGTTAAAAAAACAAAACAAAACAAATGAAAGCCATATAAAAACATCAAGAAGCTTTCCTAGGAAAATTACATTGAAAGGCAATTAACACAGGGTCAAGAAACAACAGAAGAAATCTAGAGGCTTATGTGTTTAAACCTCCAGATGACACTTACCCAAACACCCAGCACTGTGTCCCCACACGTTTGCACTGCGTGTCGGTGAGGTAGGCGTAGTACTGTCTGAAAGGACAAAGGTGGAATTCACTGAGAACTTCTGTCAGACCAACACGTCAATACGGAATTAAATCACTGTGACAGAGTGAATACATAAAATGTACCACCTTCTTCCACACACTCAACTGCCTAGTCTAGTTCTAGTCAAGGGACTAGAAAGCTGGTGCCTGTTGAAATGTTCTGCAACAGGTTAGCTGGGTTACAGGGAGGGGAGCATGGTTTAAACAGCCAGATTATGGGAAAAGGGGTTCTTGGTTCAGGGACAGGTTCCCAAAGCCGTGAGCCAAAGCAACCCAGTGGGTGCTTCAGTTTCCCTCTGTGGAGGTGATTCCATAGTTACCTGCACTGTCATTAACAGTCTCCTCTGGCTCTCTCCAGGACAGAGTTTGCTGATGGTAACCAGGCAAGAACTATATATATATATATATATATATATATATATGTATGTATGTATGTATGTATGTATATATGGTCTCAGAAACTGGAATGGCACCTCGCTGTCACTGGATGCCAATGATCTTGAATGTTACAAGATTTTTAAAAAGGCAGGGGCGGGGTGGGGGGCAATGACATGGAGTTGAAAGGCGTAGAGTAGCACCTTACCCAACAGAAATACAATACAAGCCACAAATGCAATTTAAAATTTTCTAGTAGCCATGTTAGAAAAGTAAAAAGAAACAGATGAAATTCATTTTCATATTGTTATTTAACCCAATATACTGAAAACATTATAAAGTTTTATATTATTTTTTGTACCAAGTCCCCAAAATCTGGTTACAGCACATTTCAGTGTGGGCTAGCCACGTTTCCAGAGCTCACAACCACACTTGGTGAGTGGCTGCTGTATAGGACAGTGTAGGCTTAGTCTCTACCCTGAAACAAACCATCCCTTCTGAAGTTGCATCTGAACGAGGAGTTCATCTTTTTTGAGATCATAGACTCCTTTGAGGATTTGATGAAAGCCACTGATAAAGGCACACACAAAAACACGCACACAAAATTTTGCATTGAACTTCAGGGGATTCACTTACACCTAAAGTTCATCCACGAACTATCGCCTCCTCACCCCGAAGACCCCACTGCAGAATTCTAGTGATCAAGAATTCAGGTTTTCCTTTCCACATTTTCACGACCTAATCCGTTTTCACCAGCTCAGCCACTTAACCCTGTAATGTACCCATCCTCTTATGCTGCACTTTATATATCAGACTAAAAGAAGGATCACTCAAACATTTTCTCAAAGCAGATTCATATGAAACTCTAACCGAAAAGGAAGGAAATGAAGATAAGGAGTGTATGATTTATCCTGAAGCCTATAGGCTGTCTTCTTTTTAGGGCCTTCCATTTGCTAACTGGAATGGCTGTTTAACCCATGAGAGCACTCCCATCCTTCCAAGACGCTTGTTAAAGCAGCTCCTTCCACAGGAACTGCCTCAAGCAGCGTAAGAAATACAGCAAGTGGCTAATTTTTTAAACAAACAAACAAACAAACAAAATTTTGTAGAAATCCATAATGTTTGGCAAAAATTCTGAGCAGCTCTCAGAAAGTCAAAATATGTGTTTTTAGCCTCTAGTTTTTGTTTTGAAATGTTTAATAATATTGAAATTTCATGGTAAACCAGATGTGATTTGCTATTCTGTTTTATAAGAGATTTCTTTCCCTGCTTATTGATTTTATTAATTGCTTCTAATTTAATGAAGAAAATGCTGCCAGTCACTAATTTTGAGCCTCAAATTAAGTTAAATTAAATTTTAAATATGGGAGGGAGGCTGCAATCTGCCAAACGAAAAACAGCATTTGTAAGGTAACTACTTCAATAGATCCCTGGCCTATAAAATGTCAAAGGGCTGCCGGCTTACCAACTGTTACTTTCCTGTTTAGTTCAAAATAAAAAGAAGAAATGGAATTTTGGGTCTGACTCCACAGGGTTCAGCTATATCTTCTTTGGTTTGTCCAATTCAGGATATGGGGATCTCTCTCTGTCTTTACACACACACACACACACACACACACCTGTATCTATCTCAAATATTACGTTAAAAATATATTTGTAATAATAGATGAGGACAAGAATAGGTGCTGGCTGGGGGTAAGCCGTATGCTTGACCAAAAACAACACCTACTCTCCTTGGCAAGTGAGACCTCTGCTTATGTACTTTGCAAGAACATTGACAATGATAAATTAAGATATCCTATAGCTTCTGAAAAGCTAACCCTTTTAACTGCTTAGTTTATATTTGCATCAGTTGTTCAAGATCTTTGGTGCTTCTGATAATTAATGCCAGTACTCCCTATTAGTTAAAAAACCCAAAATGCCCATTTCTAAATAGAAAAATAAAACAATGAAAATGTTTTGCTATGAAATTCCCTGGGATCAGTCTATGTGAAGGACAGTCTCCGCTAACATCTCATCTCTGGGATGCTAAAGGAGTCCAGGGGAACAATGGTATGAAATCCAGGTTTATCCTGGTTGTCCTGGAGGACTATGGAAGGACATTTTAAAATTATTTATTTATTTATTAATCTTCACCAGAGGATATTTTTTCCATTGATTTTTACAGAGAATGGAAGGGAAGGAGAGAGCAGGGAGAGAGAGAAAGAGACAGAGAGAGACAGAAACATCGATGTGAGAGAGACGTCAATTGGTTGCCTCCAGCATGCACCCCAACCGGGGCTGGAATTGAACCTGCAACCCGGATACGTGCTCTTGATTGGGAATGGAACCAGCAACCCTTTGGTGTGTGAGCTGACACTCTAACCACTGAGCACACCAGCCAGGGCAGGATCTTGTTTTTTTTTAAAGGAAATTAACTTAATTGGCTCTAAAAGAGCTAATAAAGTCTCATTTAAAAAATAACATCATAAACCAAAGAACTTATTTGCATGTATGCATAACCGATGGGCAAAGACAACAATGCTGGGGCGGGAGGGTGGGAGGTGGATCAGGAGGAGGGTATCCAGGGGGAAAAAGGAGAAACATCTGCAACAAAAATAAATTAATAAAAACTGTCTACAAGACCTACTTCAGATCGAAAGACATGCACAGACTGAAAGTAAAGAAATGGAAAAAGATATTTTATGCAAATGAAAATGAAAAAATGCTGGGGTAGTAAATGCTTTTATCAGATAAAACAGAATTTAAAACAAAGGCTATAAAGAGTGACAAAGAACATTTCATAATGATAAAGGGATCAATCCAACAAGAGAATATAACCCTTGTAGACATTTATGCACACAATATAGGAGCACCTACATATATAAAACAAATGTTGATGAACATAAAGGGAGAGATCAACAATAATATAGTCATAGTAGGGGACTTTAACATGCATTGACATCAATGGATAGATCTTCCAGACAGAAAATCAACAAGGAAACAGTGGCTGTAAACGGTACATTAGACCAGATGGATTTAATTGGTATTTTTAGAGCATTTCACCCCAAGCCAACAGAATATACATTTTTTTTCAAGTGCACATGGAACATTTTTAAAGCCAAAGAGGACATACAGATGGCCAATATACACAAAAAGATGCACACTGTCACTTATCATCAAAGAAGTACAAATTAAAATCATGAGATAATACCTCACACCTGTCAGAATGGCTATCACCAATAAATCAACAAGCATCAAGTGTTGACGAGGATGTGAAGAAATGGGAACACTAATGCATTGTTGGTGGGATTGTAAACTGGTGCAGACACTGTGGAAAACAGTATGGAGGTTCCTCAAACAAATGAAAAATGGAACTACCTCATGACCCAGCAATTCCACTTCTGGGTATTTATCCAAAGAAATCCAAAACAGTAACCTGAAATGATATACGCACCATTATGTTAATTACAGTGTTATTTAAAATAGCCAAGATATGAAAGCAACCAAAGTGCTCATCAATAGACGAGTGGATAAAGAAGATGTGGTATGTATACACAATGAATATTACTCAGACATAAAAAAGAATGAAATCTCACCATTTACAACAACATGGATAGAACTAGAGTATTATGCTAGGTGAAATGAGTCAGACAAAGAAAGACAAATAGCACAATTTCCCTTATATGTGGAATCTAAAAAACAAAATAGACAGACAAAACAGAAATAGACTCATAGATACAGAGAACACACTGATAGTTGTCAGAAGAGAGGGTGTTTGGGAGGCTGGGTAGAAAAGGTGAAGAGATTAAGAAGCACAAACTGGCAGTTACAAAATAGTGATGGGGATATAAAGTACAGCATAGGGAATATAGTCAGTAATATGGTAATAAGTATGGATGGTGCTACGTGGCTACTAGCCTTATTGGGAGATCACTTCATAAATTATATAAATGCCTGACCACTATGTATACACCTGAAATTAATATAAAATAATATTGCCCGGCCCATGTGGCTCAGTGGACTGAGCGTTGTCCCATGGACTGAGAGGTCTAGCTTCGGTTCCTGATCAGGGCACATGGGTTTTGGGCTCAATCCCCAGTGGGGGCCGTGCAGGAGGTAGCCAATAGATGTTCTCTCTCATCGATGTTTCTATCTCTCTCTCTCCCTTCCTCTGTTTAAAAAATCAATAAAAACATATAAAAAAAAAAAAAAGTCTGTCTGGTGTTGCTCACTGGTTAAGAGATTGCTGGTTCGATTCACAGTCAGGGCACATGCCCAGGTTGTGGGCCCGATTTCCAATGAGGGGCATGCAGGAGAGGAGGTAGCCAATCGATGTTCTCTCTCATCAATGTTTCTATCTCTCTCCTTTCCTCTCTTTAAAATCAATAAAGAAAAAAATATTTAAAAAAAGAAAAAGAAAACAGCAGTGAAGATGATAAAAGGGTTTGAAAATAATGTTGTAGCTTTTGATTATTCACTTCTGTTACCAAGGTCTGAGAGCAAAATACTTCCTTCGTATTATGAATGTATAATTCTTTGCAATGATATTTTCATGGAAAATCTGCTAGTTTATGTGATGTCCCTTATGCTAAACAGGAAAATAAAAGCAGGTTAACATGCTCAAGTGACAGTCAGACTTATACAGAATTACCTCACTGTGGGCGCCGTGATGCCACCAATAAAGAGAATTCTACACCAACTTAATGGATGGCTGGCTTGGAACACAAAGATATGTTTCAGGAAGAAGGTGTTCAACTCAGTCAGCTGAAAAAGGAGGAGGCATTAGTCAATCTGATACTTCATACTGAGTCATAATCATATATTCCCTTAATGAACATTGTACAACTAAAAATAATTGGTACGTTCAAAGCATTTTCAGAGAATACATGGGGTCTTCCAAATGTTGTTATTCAAACTTCGTAACGGCCAGTACAATCGGGCCTAAAGGGGGAGGAGCTAGGGTACTAGGAGAAGCACATGGGGGCACTTCCTGGTTTGCATGATTGTCACTTGGGTCATGGTGTGATCTGCTGGGATAGTCAGGGGAGGTATACTTTGAAAATAGCAGAAATCATAGAAACAAATACATGCCATGGAACACCTACGCAGCCTTTTAGAAATCAGGCCATGTCTAAAAGCAGTCGACATTAGGAAAGTAAAGCTTTAATAACCAGAAGCTTGAGCTATGTCACAGAGAGATGACTGTGCACTCATTTAATACATGCCTGAGGCCAGAAGAGGTCCCTGACCAGTTCTTAAAAGTGGGTGTGAAAGGTGGGTCCAAGTTCCACCCTGGGGCAGTGGTCCTTTTCCCTGAGGTTAGCATCCTGTGCAGCTCATTGCATTTTGAGTCCTTAGCAGCACAAGAGACTTCTTGCAGGGACGAGCTCAGTTCTCAGACCCCAGGTCCTACATTTCCCCTCCAGACTAAGAGACTAGGAAAGGTCACTGCTGTAAGAACACATATAGCCCAGCAGGTTCATTTAATGACATGAAACATGTGTCTCTTCCCATTTGCTGACTTCAAGGATATAAAATTTAAAAAATGGTCCACCAATGAACACTCCACAGGGGAAGCTGCTCACAGCACAGTGCTCACACTGAGGGAAGGTGGGCCCTGCGGCACGCTGCCTTTGAGGAGCACACTGCTCTCTCCTGACAAATCCAGATTCCTCCTTCGTTCTTGGGACAGAAGAAACGCTGTATCTTCCCTGACATTGCCCAATGAAGGTAAGGCTTAATCTCAATCCATTTACACTCTAATTTTTATACACACTGATTTCCCCAAACCACGGCGTCTAACTATTCACATACACTTCTGTATCCACAAACTCCATTTAGTTAGCTGGGCATTATTATTCTCTGCGTGTGTACAAGAACTGTCTATCTTAAACTGACATGCTGATTTTTCCTTATATTGGGAGTTATTGTGCTTGTGTTCAAAATAGAAGGTGTGGCCAAAGTAGGTTTACAGTTGTGAGTACACAAAACACAGTTTATTCTTGTATTATTTTCCAGCTGAGTAACTATAACCTACTTTTGCCTCACCCTGCACAATTTCTGATGATTCTAAAGGATCCTCCAGGCAAAAGCTGGTATCTAGCTATGTCTTCCAAAGTTGTGAAACAATTAACCTGGAGATGGGAGGAGCAATAAAAATGCTGTCCCTAGAAAACAGAGATGTTTGGTAACCCTTTCCCAGGACCTGTGGCTGTATGAACTACCTCCATCATGCAACGGTCTGCTTGCCAGGAGAGTGTGTGTTTCTCCGCTGCCGACACCATCTGGAGACCCAGGTCCCCCAGGACACCGATGCCCATGGGTAGCAGAGGGCTTCTTTATTTAGCTCTCTAATAAATTACCCAAAATGGCAACAGCCAGACACAATTTAAAAAATCACACATTGAATTTGGAACAAAAGAAAAAGCTGTGATTTGTTCCTTTGGTCCTGAAAATGATCTTTCTAAAAAGCAATCCAATGACTATGTCATTGGATGATGGATGCTGACTGTGAGCTCCTTTAAGGGAATTTTAATCTGTTTCTTATTCAAAATTCAAAGATTGATATTTTAAATTGCCTTCATGATGAAGCAACTAGCTAGTAAGCAATGTCAACTAGCATTACCTCTAAATTGCTGGCTAGATTTCATTTATTTTTTCCTATTTCTGGGCAGCTGAAAAAAATACCTGCCAGATGATCATAAAAAGGTATACTCCAGCCACTCTCTGAAATGAAGACTTGGGGTCGAACCATCGAACGTAGGTCCAGCTAGCAGGAGTGAACTGAAGCACGGCTCTTTTGATTTTCCCAGTGGTGGTGTGGATGTCCCTGTAAGAAGAGAACAGCTCCAATGAAAATCAGAAGAGATAAGAAAGGGAAAGAAAAAAAAAACCCAAAACACTAGAAACCAAGAAAAAACAACCCCGTGAATTGACTGTTTACAACAAAAGGATTCCTTTCTACTGAACTGTCTCTCCAACAATGGCCTCTCTATTCACAGGTGGAGCTCTGGGGAATTCGGGGATGACAGGCACAGCGCAGAGCTCAGGTCACTGCAGAGCCAGGGAAGGCCTGAATTTGTAAACTGGTGACAAAAGAAGCTAAGAAGCATTAGAGACAACCTTCTGGAACCTGGCCAGGAAGGACAGGGATGCCAGCACGAATCTGACTCTAACCCACTGTTTGCCTCCCAAGTTGGAGGATTGAGTTATTAAAACAGAGAACATGCTCCATATTCTTGAGGTCTCCCACATCATTTCTTCACCCTGTCTCTTCCTCAAACAAGTGAGCAGTGATTTTTAACCCTACTTTTAATCCTAAAATGACTCAAAAATGTCATACTCCTGTGACAGACAGAAACAGTCCACATATATCACAAACGAGAACATTAGGCTCAGAGAGAGCAACTGGCTGACCCAGGCTCACTCTGCAAACCTCGGAGCCTGTGTGCATTCCAGCCCTGTCTCACTAGTCGAGGAGAGCCGAAACCCAAGGTAAGGAGCAGTTACTAAGTGGTAACTTATGTCAAGGATCTTTAAGTTGCAGACACTACTGTGCTAAGTGCTAAAGGCACAAATGCAAATAAGTCGGGCCTTTTAGTCTCTCAGGGGGAGGTGAGGGGAGGAGAAGGAAACCAGGCTTGTTCCTTCATTCACTCACATACCCACCAACAAGTATGAAGTAAGAAAACCTCTGAGCAAGCTGATTCGAGGCAAAAAAGCAACAAAAAACAGACTATGCAAAAATAAACAAGAATTATGAGGAATCTGTATTTTCTTTTTAAATCCTCCCCTGAGAATATTTTTCCATTTATCTTCAGAAAGAGTGGGAGGGAGGGAGAGAGAGAAACATCGATGTGAAAGAGACATATCGGCTGGTTGCCTCCCGCATGACCCTGACCAAGGCCGGGGACAGAATCGCAACCAAGGTACGTGCCCTTGACTGGAATCGAACCCGAAACTCTTTGGTCCACAGGTCAATGCTCTAATGGCTGAGCCAAACTGGCCAGGGCAGGAGCTGTATTTTTAAAAATTGACCAAATTTCATGAAAAGATGCAGAGAAAGTTGGGAATAAATGGAGAAATACAGCAATAATTGGGATGTGGAATACTTCATAAAGAAGTTGTTTCAGCCCTGGCCGATTTGACTCAGCAGTTAGAGTGTCGGCCTGCGGTCCAGAGAGACATAAAGATAAATAGTTTTGAGAAAATCATAAATGACTTAGCACGTTCTGAATGAATGCCTGAAATTCGCTCATAATCATGTATGAGTTTCAAGTACTAACGCATCATTCATTCCTTGTCGTCAAAGACCGCACACAGAGCTGCTACTACAGCACTTACATATGCACTGTGGAACTGTGACCGCTGCCCAGAAAGAAGATGACTCACCTGAAGCTCGCCCAGTGGTAAGTCCTCATCTCTAGGAACCGGCAGACGACCATGCCCAGCCAGATGCCGCCGCCATTGCACAGCAGGATGTCCAGAACAACCTGGTCCCACCAGCACTCAGCAAAATTGGGCAGGAGATGCATAAAGAAAAGCTGAGAAACACAACAGATGATGGTGTTAAAAAAAAAAAAATTGGGAGTACCACAAGAAAAGATCAATTTCCTTTTAATAATACATGTTTTAGGAAAAATTGCTGATGCGTCAGTTTTTCTCAAAGTATTTAAAAAAAAGGAAGGTCTGTAACCTGGTTCTTTTATACTGGCTAATGACAACATGACAAGGACTCAGGAGGGGTAAAGGAGAAAGGTTTTCACTCCTGCCAACAAAGCACTGGCATAATTATACTCAAAATTAGCAGCTTGATAATTCAAGCTGTGCATTTCAGAAATATTCCACAGATATTTGGGTAAAACAGTGAGGAAGCTGTAAAAGTAGATTAGAAAAGGTTAGACTTTAATGACATGATGTAGGAACTGATAGCTTATTAGGAAATCTCCCACTCACTGATTCACAATAATTATCTCTTATCAAGCACCTATGATGAACAAGGTCGTAAGACAAAATGAAGTCAAGTTCTTGGTCTCAAGGGTAGGAGTCAGAACGTTTATCTAGAACCAAAAAATAAGGTAGGCTGTGGCAAGTGTTACCATGGTGACATCAATGGAACACAGTGGGGACAAGATTCATTCTGACAGATGGCAACTGGAGCAGGCTTCCGCAAGGAAGATCTACTGAAGTGGGATGGTTAGGGGCAGAAATGACGGGCTTCAGGAGACACAGAGGAAGATGAGGACATTTCAGAAAGAGGAACAGTGATGTCAAGGGTGGAACAGAGGTCTACTGCAGACATTGCTTTGTTCAAAACAAGGGGCCTATCAGCTGTGTCCAGGACAGATCACCCTGCTGTGTGAGGCCCATTTTAAAGTCTGAAATTACAGAGAAACTGTCTGGGGTTCTCTGAAAAGAGGAAACCCCACAATTACAAAGTATTAGAATAGAATAGAATAAAATTACTCTGAAGTAATACAATGAACACTACAAAATAAAAGTATTCATGAGAGCAGTTCACAGACTGTAAAACATGACAAATACCTGTGTCTGAGGAGTTGCCCTCCTACGGTGCCTGCTGCTAAGACACGAGACACTAGCCGCTGCACGTGGTGGCCTGTGCCTGCACTCTGCCTGCACTCGGGCCCGTCACTGCCCCGAGTGCATTCCCAGGCTCCCAGCCATGAGATGCAGCATTGACTCTTATCCTGAGAGAAACTTCAGCAGATGCAGACGACACATATTTGCTAAAACAAAACTAGACAGGGGAGTGGGCTGTGGAGGACATGCTTCGGCCTGAGGAGCTTTTCTGGAAATACCCTGAGAGGCCTGAGGAGGAGCTGCAGGGCCGCAGTCATTCCTTCACTAGGGATCTGGAAATGATCTGACATCTGGGACTAGGCAGATAGGGGCCCTGCCCTCTCCAGGCATAATGTTTAGTAAGAAGAGGCACTTATCAAGCATGTAAAATATGTCGAGTGTTTCACAGGAGAAGGGCCAGTTGTACAAATACGGAGCACAGATATGGAAGGAGCAGGGAAGAGAGGCAACAGCTTGGAGGAGGGCTCGGTGAGAGGAAAGGACACATCACCTTTAAAACAAAGAATGCAAAGATGACCAGAGCAGACAGCAAGGTGGCGAGGGGTCTCGAGGAGGCTGGGGAGGAGGGCTGGGCCAGTTAACGTCAAGCCTCAGAGCCTGGTTCAGAAGTTGGATTCTGTCTCATCAGTAAGGGACAAACAGTAAAGAGTTATTAGTAGGACAAGAACGTGAACAGGTTGAGGTCTGAAAAGTGCCACTTTGTCAAAAGGTTATGTGAAAGGAGGAGACGAGTAATTCAGACAGAGATACAGTGGGTGCAGAGGTGTGGAGAAACGCAGAGGGACTGACGGTGTCTAGAAAAGTCTACAGAACTTGGGGACGATGGGATGCTGAGGAGCAAGGAAAGGAAGGTGTGGCGGGCCCAGTCTGTAGCGTGGGGGAAGCGGGAACACGGAAGGCCCAGAAAGGCCAAGTGTCTTGCACAAGCGGCCACTTTATGAAGTCTCCTGGAAGTCACAGAGGTCAACGTAGGAAGAGAGGAACATGGACTGCACATCTGGAATCTAATCCTGGGTCAACAAGGAAGTGAGGCTCTGAGCCTTGGTTCCCCATGTGCACCTGGGGAATATACACTGCCTTTTCTGGTTTTGGTGAGGATTTAGAATGATATAGGTACCATGTTGGGCACTATTATCGATTGTGTCCCCTCAAAATTTCTTGTTGAAGCCTTCTCATTGAAGCCTTGACCTCCAGCACCTCCTAATGTGACTGTGTTTGGAAACAGTCACTGCAGAAGTAATTAGTTAAGAGGTCACACTACAGTAGGGTGGGCCCCTAATCCAGTATGACTGGTGGCACTATGACAAGGACACCATATGAATGCACCCAAGGAGAATGCCAAGTGGAGAAGGCAGAGATCAGAGTGACGCATCCACAAGCCAAAAATGTCAAAGATTGCCAACAAATCACAAGAAGCTTGGGACAGATTCCCCCTCACAGCTCTCAGAGGGAACCAACCCTGCTGACACCTTGAACTAGGGCTTCTAGCCTCTAGGGCCGGGAGAGGCGCATTAACAGAAGCTATAGCTAACTGGCACGCTTCTCTAAGTTAGGATCAGGACAAGGACTGGCATGGAGAAACATGCCGTGCACATGGCCAAAATCTGTTTCTTGTAAATGAATAAGAATAATATAATAATAAAACAATAAACAGATTAGAACCCAAAATTGCATTTTGCTAATAGTTTTTCAAGAATAGATCTCTTTTATTAAATGCGACAATATTTTGATTACTGAGATAGTAAAACTATATTGGGAATTCATTATTCAGTGACAAAATATCATCGATGCCCTTATAACTTCCAAATACCACAAGCCTATTTATTTCATACTGGAAACTAGTTAGTGGGTAAACTACCTATTTACTTCTAAGCAGATTGCATTACCCTTTATTTGTCTCACTTGGGATTTCAATGTCACTCTTTAGCTTAATTTCATTTGTGTTTTTCTTTATTGATTGATTTTAGAGAAAGGAGAAGGGAGAGAAATACTGATTTGCTGTTCCATTTAGTTATGCATTCATTGGTTGATTCTTGTATGTGCCCTGACCGGCGATCAAACCCACAACTTTGGCATACTGGGAAGACACTCGAACCAACTGAGCTACCCGGCCAGAGCTTATTTGTTTCTCTTTAAGATTTTTGACAAACAGACACATTTTAAATTACCGAGAAGTTTTCCTGAAAAAGCTGTAAAATATTCCTAGGGGGTGGTTTAAATTCCTACATAGAAACTTCCACCTGCAGGTCCAGATAACGGGCCACACTCCCCTTCTTACCTCGGTTAGCTCCCAGGTAATACTGATGGTCCAGCAGAGACCATAACTACGGATCAGTAAGGCCTTCATGGCCCAGCCCCAGAAATGTCCGAATGCAAAGATATCGAAGTGGCTGATAATCCTCTCCCAGGTGATATCATGGCAGTTCACAGCATACTCCTGTTTAAAGTAAAATGGAGAAGAATCAATGATACTCTGAAAACCAACTTGCTTCCTGGATTCTGATAATAAATAAGAACTGATGTGACTTTGATAATTAATATGCGTCCTATCCAAAAACAAAAAAAGTTTTAATAACGTAAGATTTTTTGGGAAATTGCTTTGCTCCGAATTGCAAAAACTGGGTTAAAATGAGAAGCAAAGTAATTTTACAAAGTCTTATACATCTCAAAGAAGTGGTATCACACAGGCTGTGTCACCTGACCATAGGGCAACCGTGTTAAGGCCAGTAACAAAACATAAATAAGCCCTGGCCAGTATGGCTCAGTGTTTGAGTATCAGCCTGCACACCGAAGGGTTACCGGTTTGATTTCTGGTCAAGAGCAGGTACCTGGGTTGCAGGTTTGATACCCAGCCCCAGTTGGGACACGTGGGAGAGGGTACCAATGAATGTCTCTCTCTCTCTCCCCCTGCCCTTCTTCCACTTTTCTAAAAATCAGTGGGAAAAAATATCCTCGGATGAGGATTAACAATGACAACAACAACAAAAAACATAAATAAAATCCCAATAAATAAAGAATAAATAGGATCCCAACAGGTTTAAAACACAACTTTAAATATCATTAATTAAGAAAAAAAATTATATAATATATTCAGTAATAAAAGATAATGAAAATGCTATGTATAAAAAAAGATAGCCCTGGCAAGTGTGGCTCAGTTTGTTAAGTGTCGTCCTATCCACCCAAAGATTGCTGGTTCGATTCCCGGTCAGGGTGCATACAGGAGGCAACTGACAGATATTTCTCTCACATTGATGTCGCCCCCCGCCCCCAAAACTCCCTTCTACTCTCTCTAAAATCAATAAAAACATTAAAACACACACACACACACACACACTCACACACACACACAAAGATGGGATGCAGTTAAGCAGACTTTAAGAGGGAAACAAAAAGCCTTAATTGCTCACATTAGAAGAGAAACAAAAACATCCAACTTCAAAAATTAGAAAAAAACAGAATAACCCCCTCACGCTAAAATGTATCCAATATTACATAATTTAAATATTTAAAAAATTACAAAGCTTTAAAAGATACTGGTTCTTTTTCCTGTATCTTTTTGTTTTTAACACACCTGACATACTTGTACGTCAACACTGCCTATGGAGGTGCAGCACTTTCTGCCTGTCTCCCACTGGTCCAAGGGCTATCTCGGTGGCTCCGCCTTCCCCCTTGCAGCCCAACAGTTAACCTAGTACAAGTCTCCATTTCACCTCCCCAGTGGTTCTTTTCTCCATCTCACCACCACTATTATTCCTCGCTTAGATGCCTGCAAGAGCTTCTTAAAATTGTGAAGTTTTCAGATATTCGAGAGTACAGGTAACACTTTAATAAGCACCTCAGCACCCACCCCCAGCTTAACACTACAGAGATCCTTAACTGGTCTCCCTGTATTCACTTTTGCTTCCTGTTATTGACTCTCTACAAACAAAATGATTTTACAGATGATGAATCAGATCATTTGGGGGGGTGGTGTTTGTGGGGGTGGCTGGTCAGGCATCCTTCCCAGTGTGAAAGAATCTCCACTACTACACGCTCCAGGACTCCTGTCACACTCTCTCCGACTTCTAAGGTTGATGACCTTGGAAGAAGCAAGAACATATGAACTCCAATGTCTTTGGAAATTATTTGCCTCCAGACGGTACAGAGAGTCCTCGTGTGCTCTCTCCTCTTGGGAAAAGACTTGTGGTTGTCCAATGGGATAAGGGAGGAGAAGTCTGGTTGTACAAACAAGGCCATGGGCAGGTCTGAAGCCGTCTGCTCCACCGAGCTTTCACGGGAAGGAATCAGCTGATATTCTGCATTCCTTTTTTGTGCTTGTCTCCAAACTTGACTGGAGATGGGGGTATTATTAAGTGACCCCCTGAAACAGTAACATAGATCATGTAACTGCTCTATTTATAAACCTCCCATGGCCTTTTATTGCATTCAGAGTAGCATCCAAAGTCCTCATCCAAGTCTCCCTAGCCTCAGGAACTGCCCTTCCCTACCTTTTGATTTCTGCTCTCCTTCAGCTCTTGACTGATCCCAGCTTCTTGAGTCAGGGCCTCCTCACAGGCTGTTCCCCCTTCCTGAAAAAGGGCCACAAACCCCTACACCCACTTTGTTTGGCCAACTTTCACTCACTTTTTAGTTGTCAGCTTAAACATCAGCTCTCCACAAAACCTGCCCTGACTTCCCAGACTGGATTGGGTCTCTTTCCTAAGTTCTAATGGCACCCATTTCTCTTCCTTCAATGCACTGTACACATCTATAGTCATGACGCTTTCTGGTTCTATGACATGTCCTTCACACATTGTAGTACTTAAATAACTGAGATGAAAATGTCAATATATTACTATGTTTGGTGCATTTAACATAAGGTTTCTTTATTTCCCTCCCAAAAGCCATACCTAGAATGAATTGATGGCACATCTTAACATTAATATTGACTTCCTGAACTGCATGATCAATCTTAATGTTACAGGAAGAGAGACAAGCAGACCTCGTGGGTCTCCTGGTGCGACGCACAGCACCTCCAGTGAAGCAGTCCCACACAGTACATAGAGCTGAGCGGGAATCTAGAACCAGCTTCTACTGTACCTTCCAGTGCACGGGAAACACAGGCACAGTAGAGTGTGCTACACAGCACCTTGCAGATGCAAGTTTCAAAATTCAGACAGGAGAAACTCTATAAAATAAACAGTATGGTTTCTCTGACTAATAAACTCAGGTGGGGAGTGACTACAGATGAGAAATGTAAGAGCTACAGCAAATACAATGTGCGGACCTTGTCTGGATCCTATTTTGAACAAATCAACCATGTAATACCTTTGTGAGGTAACTGGAAATGCAAACAGCGATGCATACTGTGATCTGTTACGCAACTAAAAATGGCACTGTGATTGTATTTTAAAAGTCCCTATATTTTAGATTAATGTCTGAGAACTATTTCAAAAGAATCCAAGTTATGGGGGATAAAAATGAAACAAGATCGAGCATGTGTTGATATAATTAAACAAACAAAAAACCGGTTGAGGTTGTCTTGAGTAAAAGAAAAAGAGCCGACAATTACTGTATTTGTTTCATCTGCTTTCCTGTGGACTCTATGCTCCAAGAGACAGGAGTGTGCCTGCGCTTCCTACCACCACCAGCGGAGCCCAGAGCACAGCGGAGCCCAGAGCACAGCGGAGCCCAGAGCACAGCGGAGCCCAGAGCACAGCGGAGCCCAGAGCACAGCGGAGCCCAGAGCACAGCGGAGCCCAGAGCACAGCGGAGCCCAGAGCACAGCAGAGCCCCGTGCGTTTTCACTAAACAGAAGACCGCTGCTTCACGCAGCCCACTTTACAAACGAGATGTGCTCTGAAAGCTTGTCTAAAGCACACACGCATATTTTTAATATAATTAATATTTAGAAAAATAGCAAACTTCCAGACAATTACACACACACACACACACACACACACAAACTGCCTCAAATAGGATTCCAAAGACCCCCAGTCCTATTTCATGATATTATTTCTAAGGGAAAAGAGGCTGGGGATTCCAGAAGGGGACCGAGGTGCTCCAGCACCAGCTGGAACTCTAGAAGGTGAAGAGTGTCATGCTTTGCTTTCGGCAAGAATGTATTAGCCAATATTTGAAAACTAGAGTCTAAAAGCCAGTTTCAGCTCTTTTGGGGACGTCATTGTGACAGTCAAACATCTCTGTGATGTCAAAAGCATATTAGGTTTACTTCCCCAGCTTGCTGTGAGAATGGGGTCAACAGAGACTCATCTGCAAATTCACCTATGAGTCAGTTTACTTCAAAAGCCCAAGAAAATTGTGGGGGAAATCTCATAACTGAGACATGTTTCTCCTAATCTCTAAGATTCCACAGACGTCAGTGAGCGTCAAAGCACTTATTGTTACTATTATTATAACTGTATAACTGAAGACTAGTCCAAAAGGAAAGTACAGGTTTTGGAGCCAAAGGGATCTTACCAATTTGTGTTCTGAGTGAGATATTTATCTATTTTAAGCTTCTATTTTCTCCTCAGTAAGTTGGGGATAGTAATGTCTGCCATGCATGCCTCAGTGAGGCTTGTGTAGATTCAATATAATGCACCCAGCCCAGTGCCTGGCAGAGTAGACAACCCTTGATCAGTCCCTGTTATCATCCTCACCATAACTATCAAAATCATTATCATTAGAAGCTGTAAGCACCCTGTACCAACCTCTTCCTTAGAGTACAAACCCCCAACAGTTTTCCCCAAGACTTTTAAGTAATGTTTGGCATTCTTATTTTCGCCTTTAGCATGTCCTTTATAAAAGTTAAAGATAGCCTGGCTGGTGTAGCTCACTGGTTGAGCGTCAACCCATGCACCAAGAAGCTGCTTCGATTCCCGGTCAGGGCACATGCCCAGGTTGTGGGCCAAATCCCTAGTGGGGAGCATGCAGAAGGCAGTCAATTGATAATCTCTCTCTCTTTTTTTTTTTATCCTCACCCGAGGATATTTTTCCATTTTTTTGTACAGATAGAGTGGGAGGGAGAGAGAGGAAGGGAGAGAGAGAGAGAAACATCGACGTGAAGGGACACATCGAGTGGCTACCACCTGCACAACCAACCAGGGCCGGAGACAAACTGCAACCGAGGTACATGCCCTTAGCGGGAACCGAACCCGGGTCTCTCCGGATCGCAGGCAGACGCTCTAACCGCTGAGCCAAACTGGCCAGGGCGATAATCTCTCTTTGATGTTTCTCTCTCTCTCCCTATACCTTCCTCTCTCTAAAAATCAATAAAGAAAAAAAAAATTTTTTTAAAGTTAAAGATAAAATCTGGAAACACCATTCAGAGAAGGGTCTGACCAATTTCAACCACAGTAGAAGATTACTTCTCTGACCTTTTATTAAGTCCTTTCCTACTGTTTTTTGTTCATTAAACAAAGGTCTGTCTCTGGCCCAAATGCCTATTCTCCTGTTCTGAGCATCACTCGCTTTTCCTTCAATCTGCACCAAACAAATGTTAGGAATTTAAGGGAGGGTGTGGAAAGCAGCTGTGTTACATTATAAAATATTCTCTTACAGCCGAAGTACAGAGTCATTTTAGCCAAGAATAAAACTATTTCTTGTGATTTAATTAAAATAATGAATGCAATGGCCCAAATAATTAAAACTGGGCCTTCACAGCAAGCAGGTGGGAAGGGACATGGCATTGGGGCTGGAGGGCGACAGAGCGCAGCTGCCCTTGCTGAGGACCTGGCGTGTGCAAGGCCCTGTGCTAGGCCTCGTGGATAACGTTACTTCTTTAGTTCACAATAAACTCCCCAAATACACAAAGTCCTGCAGCTAACAAGTGACAGGCAGAATTCACACCCGAGGCTCTCTCATGATAACGTTCACACTCTTCCTGCCACCCCGCTTTGCTCCAAGAGAGGAGCTCACTTCCCTGAGCGCATCACTCATGGAAACCGTGCACCTTACCAACCTGCCCAGAGACCTGGCTTTTAGATCTCCACACAGGAGAGCTGGAGCAGGAACAATCTAGAATGTGCATCTGACTACCTCCCAAGTCCAGGAGCCCACCAGCTTCCGAGACCGCTGACAGGTACATACCATGACGTCCGCTTCCCTCGTGGCGTATCGGAGGTTTGGATCTAGCCAGTACATTAGGGATTTCACCTGCTCAAAGTTCAGGAAGAGGAGGAAGACCAGGAACAGGAAGTAGAGCACACTGAGTCCTAAGGGAAACAAAACAACGTCATACTGAGGAAAGACCTGGGTGTCAGGTGCACAGCACATGTTACACTCAAGTCACTTTACGGCCAAAGCAGACACGGATGTTGTGACACAGCGTACCGAGACCCCCATTACAATCTGGTACTTCCTTTGCTGAGAGTCTGATACACAGTCCTAATTCAGGTGGAGAGGGTCAGTAACACTTGCTGAGAAAATTATGCTGAAGCTGAGACTTGAAGGAGTGGCAGACAGAGGGTGTGGGAGTGGGATGGAGGGGCGAATGCAGATTTCAGGCAAAGAAAGGTGTGCGGGTAGGTCCTTAGAATGAGACCTGTCTGGAAGCTGGGATGTGGCTGGGGTGCCAGGAGAAAGGGAAGAGAGTAAGGTGGCTTTGAATTGACAGTCAGGGCTTGGGGGCCATGGCAAAGATTTCAGATTTTATCTTACGTGAAACTAGGAGCACTTGACAGCGTTTCAGTGAAGATATAAGATGAACTAGGTAACATTTTACGAAGCTGACCCTGGCCACTGTGTGGAGAGTGGACGCAGATGGGCAAGGCCAGGTGCAGACAGTCTAGTCCGGGGGCTGGTTCAGGAGTGACAGATTTGAAGTACGAGAGGTGACCCAGTGCCACCGATCAACATCTTATACCCATTTTAGCTTGCAGGCATTATGTTACTTTCACATCATATCATAATTGGTATCCTAATAATCATCCATGTCACTTAAAAATAAAGTTAATCTACTTTAAGAAGGCAAAGCCTGTAAATACATTTGAGAAAGATTTGAAAACCAACCACCAGTGGCTTTGTCACTTCTTTCTCTCAAACCTGCTAGAATTTACACATTAGATGTTAATGTCGGACATCTAAACACTGTTACAAATGACCTTGGATCACAGCACCCTGTCCAAACTTGGCTCAGCATTAATTTGCAGGGAACCACTCTAGAGGAGAATGTCTGTGGCCAGGAAGAAATGGAATGTCTATAGCACCAGGCCTTCCAACAGGGAGCACTCAGTCCCAGAGAGCTGTGTGTGTGTGTGTGGTGCGGGGCGGGAGGAGGGTTGGAGAGGAGCATTCTCACCAAGTCATGTGTCCCAGGGCCCAGGGAGCACACATTTTTAAGTTTATAAGTATGAGGACCTCCTGAGGTTTGCACTTATGCACCAGCTATTTTTACACAAATTTTCAACTCAAATGCTCCTTGCCCCATACCTTTTTGTTATAATCCTTTCAAAATAATTTCTTTAAGACAGAAAGACAGAGTCTGTGGAGCAGGGGTTCTTAAACTGGAGTTTATGGTTAGACTTCAAGGTCCATGAAGAATATGCAGAACTGTGTGTGTGCGAGCAAGTATGCGTGTTTGTGTGTCTGTTAGGAAAGGAAAGGATCTATAGTTCCCATCAGACTATCAAAGGGCTCCTCGATCCCAAAAGATCTCAGGTAAGAAACAAAACTGCTCATTACCTGTAACAGACCATTTGAAATAGAAAAAACTCAGATGTAGTCAACTAGCTGAAAATAACTTTTAACTTCAAGTAGGAATATTAAGTCCATAAGATGTAAGTATGATGCAACAAGGATTATTGTTTTTAAAATATAAATAAATCATCTCACTCCTCTGCAAAAATCCTCCCATGACTTCCCACTGCCCTTCACATCCACAATCCTTACTGGGCCCTGACCACTCTCTCTATTCTCCCAGGCCTGCTATGCTCCGGCCACACTGGCCTTGAACATGCCAAATTTGTCCTAGCTGGGGACCATTTTAGCAGCAACTCCTTGGTCTGGTTCCCCTCTTTGCATGCTTAGATCCTTCTTGGCATGCAGGTTTTGGGTTAAGCATCCTGCCTTCAAACCTCCCCTCACGCACAAGCAAAAGCAGCCATCCAGTCACTATCACCTCATATGATTTTAATAAACATCCTAACCCTGAAGCAACATCTGATTTTTATATTATTGGTTTAACAGTTTGTTTGCTGTAGTTGTCCTCCCTCTACAGGACCCCTCTTGACCGGAAGGGCTGCCCCTGGGCGTCTGCCCCACCGCAGCCTCAGGGCCAGGGCAGCGCCTGCACATGGAGGCACTCAGCGAACCCCTGCTCGACGAAGGTCCAGGGCTGACCACTAAATTCAAAGGGATTTACCTTTGATCCCTGAATATCTGAAGAAAAACAGGCAACCTTGAGAAAAAGGTTCATCTTTAGGATCCTTTTGCATAAGACTGCATTTTCTGAGGGTAAAATAACTTATTTGATGTCTTGTTTAGGCAAGATAAAGCCAGTATCTATAGTTTTTTCTTTTTTAAATCCTCATCCAAGAATATTCTTCCACTGATTTTTTTTTTTTTTATCCTCATCCGAGGACATTTTTCCATTTTTTGTACAGATAGAGTGGGAGGGAGAGAGAGAGAGAGAGAGAGAGAGAGAGAGAGAGAGAGAGAGAGAGAAACATCGACATGAAAGGGACACATCGAGTGGCTGCCACCCGCATGACCAACCAGGGCCGGGGACAAACTGCAACCAAAGTACATGCCCTTAGCAGGAACCGAACCTGGGTCTCTCCGGACCGCAGGCCGACACTCTAACCGCTGAGCCAAACCGGCCAAGGCTCTTCCACTGATTTTTAGACAGAGAGGGAGGAAAGGAGAGGGAGAGAGAGAGAGGAAACACTGATGTGAGAGAGACACTTCGATTGGTTGCCTTCTGCACTATCTGAGCAGGGCTGGGGATCAAACCTGCAACTGAGGTATGTGCCCTTGACCAGGAATCTAACCAATGAATCCTTGGTCCTTGGGCCAACGCTCCAACCACCTCTGACCCAAACTGGCCAGGACAAAATCTATAGTTTTGAAGATCTGTTTTAAATCCTTTCAGGTGATTTAATTATTTTGACTAGAAATCAAATAAAAATAAGACATCTCCCTTTTCCAGGTTCTTTGCCATTCCTGATATGAGATTGCTGGATTTTTCAGTCCTCCCTGATGCTGATGTGACCAATGCACTCACAGGACACACCTGAGCTTGCACTAGTGACGAGAAACACGAAGATGCGTAAAGAACAACAAGTCCACATTCCCTGACGTCAAATCCTGTGTATATTAAGAGACACCAGCATAAGAAAGGGGCATATGGAGCTGAAAGAGTTCGCATGTATGGGGATGTTGATTACCACTAGTACTTTATTTTGTGGCAAAGATTTTAAGTAAAAAATTTATATTAGAAACACCCAGAAGTAAAAAGCTACAGAGTTTTTCTGTAGAGTGGTAAGTAAAACTGCTATGATAATATACCAAAAAAAAAATTTTTTTTAAGTAGAATATATTTTAAAATCTAATGGGTAACTCACCAAAAACCATTCTCCATAAGGCTGGATGAGGTCGAGTAAATGGACCTGTGGAGGTAACAATACAAGGTTAGAACAAACTGACTTCAGAGACAAAGACTAAAGACAGTGCTGCTGACCTCCAAAGAGATAAACAATAGTAAAAAGCTCTTTACGTAAACATTCTTTTTTACAACAGATACTTTGAGGTCAAAGTCTAGGTTGAAATGTTTTATCCACCTTGTAACAGCTGTAGCCACACATAACAGATACCAAATCTCCATAAGTTTAAAACATATTTTTTTCTTTAGAACTCAGATTATAATTTCCCAGGGAAACAATGTTATTAACAGTAAGTAGGTTACCAGGCTGGTCTTTAAGTGTATGTAATACATGTTGTACCTTAACAAGTGAAATCTCCCTGCTACCCAGGAGCTCTAGGGGAAAGAAGTTCTGAACATCGTGTGTGTGTGTGTGTGTGTGTGGGGGGGGGGGGGGGCACTGACTTATTCTGAAAATGAAAGAGAAGAGAGAAATACTGTGCTATGAAAATAAGTGAGGTAGAGAGTGAGATTGAAAACAAATCCTTTGAACACTGGAACATTCAGGCTTTTGAGATCATGAACTATGGTAAAAAAATAGCTTTTACCTGGCAACTCAGTCTCCATACATAGACTTTCTCTTCTATTTTATTTCATTAAAAGCTGGACTTTGGTTCATTAAACTGATTTATGACCAAACTGAAGGGTTACAACTTGAAAATGTTGAACACTGTTGTAGTGGGCACCTATCTGGAGCTGCCCACACCTTTGGAACAGCCTTCCTACACTTGGAGAATTTCCAGCATTACGCGTCCTACATCTCCAGGGTAGATGCCAGAATCTGCTGCCCAGTTTTCTTTATAATTGGGCTCAGTTCTTCAGCGGCACCCATGCCAGACTTGACCGTAGGAGCTGGTGATAGTAGAGGTAAACATGCACAGCCCTCCCCTCCTTCTCTCTGGAGCTGGCCAGAGGCACTCCTCACACTGATTGTGGCAGTGCAGGTTCCATTCACGCTCACTGCAGAAGTGACGGTGGGCCTATGCTCACAGGGCTTTCCTCATCAGACCCGTTCTGGGTGACATGCCAGTTTCTAGAAGCTTTCCGGGGAACTTGCTCCCCAGCCTTCTACAACTCCTCCTCAAGCCAGCTAACACCCATTGAACGGGCTTTTAAATCCGCAGAGTCAGCCTCTGTTGCTTGCAACTGGGAATCCTGGGAAGCAAATACGGCATTATAATTTTTATTCTAGAACTCATTCTAAAATCCATCTCTTTTTATACAGACTATATTAAAATATATTTGAACTGCTTTCTTTTGATGAATCAAGTTCATACCAGGAAAATCAGTTACAAGTATCCCCCATCGAATTCTATTAGTTCCTGAGTACAGATGGTGAGAACTCAGGAAGTTAGCTTTGTGAGACTGCTTTATCCAAATTAATTAGGTGCCTGAGTTTTGGATGACAAGTAGTGAGTGCTCAGAGGTGAAAGATTTATAAGTTTATCCAAGTCTGTTCAAATTCTGATTTCAGACAGTGGGGAATACCTGTTTTCTTCTTAATCATCTGCTTCTTTCTCAGAAAAACACAGTGAAGCAGAGAAACCAGAATCCCCCTGTAGGTAACATAACGTGGTCACCTTTCTTCAAACATCTTTGGAAAACTGACACCTAACAGTACCATCTTTTAAGTAATTTTCTCTTCCAAACGCTGTTCTTCACTGAATTTTGGTTGATGTCTCTTGACTTGTCACCATGTATTCTGATGGCTATCTCCTTTGAAATATTACATTATCCATACCACTGAATTAACCTTTCAGACATAACAAGGGACCCCAGCTTTCTCTATGGTTTCCTCTTACAAGGTCCAACTCTAAACTTTATTTGGCTTGCAACAGAATTTCATGCCCAATAAACACTTAAAATCATATGTTGTTACTCTCAAGAGCAATCATAATATTAATTTATGAAGGTCAGCAGTACTTTCCTGAGCACTCATTGTGTACCAGGCTGAAGATGAGACACCCTGCCCCCCATTTTCTCCTGACAGCTGGGTGATGAGGGTGGTACCATCATCCCCATTTTACAGATAAGAACAATGAGCCCCAGGGAACTTGCCCAGGGTCACACAGCTCACAGACCTCCACTCTGGTCTGAGCACATATGTAGTTCTCCATCAACTCTGTCAGGCCTGGGCCAGCTTAGGAGAGGCTGAGGCGGAGCTGAGGGGCTGAGCCAGAACTCTCAGGGCCGGAGGGCAAGGCGGGAGAAGCCAGCTAGTGGGTGGTGTTGAGGTCCTGCAATGTGGAATTGATGAACGAGGTCAGGAAGAACAGGAAGGATGGGGAAATGCTGGGGAGCTAATGGGAGTCCCTCACATCAACCAGTAGAAAGGCCTCCAAAGTCCTCTTCCACCTGTGACTACTTGAAGAGAAGCCTTCCAAAAACAGACGCAGCCCCTGCCTATTTGACCTAAGCAGTGTGTTCCCGAGTAAATGAGAGGACAGAGGGTGCTTGAGAAACTTGGCGCTGAGGAGCCTCGCAGCTCTCCTCAACCTACAACCACTGCGCAGCCCAGGGCACTTCCCTGTTTCTCCGTGATTGCCTGGGACCGGCACACGCTGTTCCAGGACTGTTTGGTTTCTTTAAGCCTTGACTTATCCCTAATTGGATTTTTTCCTCTTTTTTTCCAGATTTCTCACTTACACATCATAAGATCACATCACAATGTTTCTCAAAAAAGCCAAGTTTTAAAAGACCTTTTGGCTTTGCCATCTGAAATGCACTGGCTCTGAAACAGGCTTAGGAAACCTGACGTGGTGGTTTCAGAAGAGACAGAGTACCAGGGCGCTCTGTCCTGGACCCGGTCCTTGGGAACCACCTGTGTCTTTTACCTACAAAAGGTGAGATAAAGCCCTGGAGAATGTAAGGTGACCCTTTCAGTAACGAACTTCAAATCTGCTCACTTCTTAGAAGTGCACTCTAGTAACATTACTCACTAAGAGAACCATCTTCACCATCAGACAGTAATGTTACTAAAAGTAATGTTACACTTTTTATAAAACCAAGAGTGAGGCTGGTATTCTTCTATATCATAAGCCTTGATTTTTATGCTCACTAGATTACCCACACTTGGCTACTCTAATCAAGTCACCTTTTCAAAGCCATACTTTCCACAGCATGATCTGCCTAGGAGTATCAGTACTACCTAGAGCCTCCTCTGAACATCTGCTTTACAAACTCAAGGCCTCCACAGAGCTTATCTCCCAACAAACTATTTCCAAGTGTTCTATAAAGGGATGATTCCTTCTCTCCCCCTGAAGCTCCATCTCAGAGCGAGCTGCCTCTTACCTCACCTCCACCCGGCTGCCTGGAAGAGCCTGGGTCTCCCGTGCAGGGCTCTTCCCCTTCACCAGGCAGGAGAAACGGGGAAAGAGGTGTCATTGTTCTGGGTTCTGGTTTCTTACCAGGCACATTTAAAAACAACACCTTTTATCTTCTTCATCAGTTCCTACATCTACACTATGTAATTTTAATCAGATATTAAGAGCAAGTTTAATTTCAAAAGATAAAGAAATAAAATATCTTCATCATGAGAAGAGGAACATTTTAAAAACTACCTCAGAAACGAGAAATCAGGTCACTGGCTTGACTGGCCGGCAAGAGTTATACCTATGACTAAGTTTAAGGAACCGAACCATAGGGAAGTATAATTCTTTTAACAAAAATTAGAAGTTACATCTGTGTCCTCAGACCCTCCTCGTCTGCTTTTCCCCTTATTGTTTTTTTCCAGCTTTACTGAGGCATAACTGACATATCTGTAAGATATTTGATTATTATTAAAGGTTTAATGTCTCTAAAACTAAGAAAAGTAGATAAAAGCATTTCTACGCAAATTTAAAGTTAAGAAAAATAATTTTTAACATGAAAAAGTAGTGGGGTAGGGGACAAGAACTTTTTTTTTTTCATTTAGAAGGCAGTGAACCTCCTGGTTCACCTTCACATATCAGAGATGTAATTAGCACCATGCTGAGCTCAGAGAAGTCAAATGAGCCTGAAGGACAAACAGAATGATAAAATCAGGAAAATCTAGAAATACTACTACTTCACTCTACTGAAAATACCTTGAAGAAGTGCTGAGTGGTGTGTTTCTCTTGCAGATAAGTCAAAGGAAAAAGAGGGCTAATACTGTGATTTTTTTTTTTTTTTTGCTGACAGATTCATTACCTAATTCAACATATATTCATTGAGAGCCAGGCACTGGGGTGCAGAGCAGGCTTGGGCAGTTTGAATGCGGGGGTGGAAGAGGGAGGAACAGCTCAGGGAAGCCTTCAGAAGCCAGAAAAGTACAGGAGACGGTTATCTGTTAAATCGCAAAGGCAACTGGAGACTAAAATAGGTTTCTAAATTTCACCCCAGTGATATAGTGAGATAGTTATAATTACACTCCAATGATAAAATTACACTTAGATTTGAGTGTCAGTTGCTGTAATGAGATGGAAGTACCATTTAAAACAAACAGACAGACAGACAGACAAAATTGAAGGGAATCAAAAGCGAATGGGACAGAGGATGATGGCAGGAGAGAACTGTGACGTGGTTACCAGGCCCTTTCCTTCCCAACCCTACTTCAGGGTCTCTCCCTCCATGTCTGTGCACAGGGCTAAAAAAAGGAACTTGACAACCTAGGCCTGTCACTCCTCCTGTTGACTGAAGCACATTTTGTCGAGTTCCCATTCCTCTCCCACATAACCCCAGTAACTTCTCAGCCGATGAAGGGAATCCTATCCTTACATCCTTTCAGTCATGAGATCTACTGAAGCCCTACTAAGAGCCTACTCCTCTAGGCACTATACATTCCTGTCCTCAGGTCTGGCTGGTAAGAGGCACATCGCCCAATCCTAGACAAAGAGAACAGAGGACTACTGTGCTGGAAGGTTTCTAGAAAAGGTTTCCTCACTGTTAAAAAAATACATAGGAAGAAATGACTTTTCCTTCTGCGGGACACTGTCCACAACTATGGTCCGG